TTCCACATTTCCCCCTTTATGTCTAAATAAAATGAAAAGTTTTAACTAACATAGGAAAACTATATACAAAAAGTACAATAAATATATATACAAATATATACAGCCAATAATTACATTAACAATGTCCAGTTCATTTGCATTTAACAAATTTAGGGAAAATATATTACCTATTTTATCTCAGTGGATCCAAAGTTTTATACCTAACTTTTTTTCATAATTAAAGAAAACTGCAACTGTAACTATCTAGTCAAAGACCCAGAAGGATGTAATCTTATGTAACAACAGAGACCTCTGTCTGCCTGGACAGTCACCCTCAGCTCCTCTGCAATGCTGAGGCGTCCCTCTTCAGCCTGCAGCTGAGGCGTCCCTCTTCAGCCTGCGGGCTTAGAGTATCTAGCAGACTTTTCAGTGGAGCAGGAAATTTTAAGGACTGTCCTACGTTGTATTGGCAAAGTTGGTCAGTCGCTTTCCTCTGTGTCCTGCAGAATATCTGGCAAACTCTTCTGTGAGGCAGGAATTTTGAAGGACTTCCTACCTTGTTTCGGCAAAGTTCAGCAGTCTTTTTTTTCCTGTGTGCCCGGCATGTCCAGTCTGCACAGCACAATGTCAGTAGTCAAAGGCAAGAGCAGTTCCTTTGCCCAGTGGCCACCTTGCCACAATGAAAGCAAACTTCTCTGGAATTTCTTAATGCCATCCTTTCATGAAGTAAATTGGTGCTGCCAGGAGAAGATGTGTCTCATTGTCTTGAAAAACCCTAAGTTAACAAAACATTTTAAATATCATATTCTATAGGTCATCTATCTGTCTAAAATATACCTAGTTAACCTTGAAAACATGCTTAATTTAAACATACAAGTTTAATTATTATAAATTAACTGCTAACCTTATTTATATATTGCATTTTTAAATGAACTGCATAACCACAATACCCCAAACAAGGGTAGAAACATATAAACGGTGTAACAAAATTAACTTTAATTTGTTTCAATATACCAAAATCCATGCCAACACAAATATCTGAGATTAGTAGTTGTATTTTTATCCTATATTCCCCTAAATGATAACAAACATCCATGACCCACCAAATAAACAAAAGCCCCCTACAACCCAACTCTTGGTCATGTGGCCCTTGTTTTCTTTAGACTGCTTCCAGTTGTCTGTGGATGAAGTATCTTTAGGGTCCCTGAGAAAATTTGAGATAATGGCCATGTCCTGGGAAGACCAGAGGTAACCTTTTTTGAGATATCACCTGCCAAGTTTTAGAAGGTCTCCCTTGATCAAAACCAGATCTATATCAACCTGGAATGAATCCTCAGCCTATTGTTTTCTGTGGAAACAAAAGCAAAACCACTTCTCCAAAGCATTTTTGATTTCCACTTGGCAAATAAATTTTTATTATTTTTTTCTTTTTTTTGGTTTTTCGAGACAGGGTTTCTCTGTGGCTTTGGAGGCTGTCCTGGAACTGGCTCTCTAGACCAGCTGGTCTCAGACTCTCAGAGATCTGTCTGCCTCTGTCTCCCCTGAAGTGGGATTAAAGGCGTGCGCCAGCAACGCCCAGCAACCTTATTATTTTTTAAACTATCTTTTTTCTTTCTATGACTGCCTATACCCGTTTTCTTTCTTTTTTAAGTCTGTGAACTTTGTAAAACACACTGGAACCTGTTTAGAGGTTTTATTTTCTGCCAGGATTAGGGTTGCTGTGATGCGTTCTCTAGAGCACCCTCTCCACGGGGCGCTGCCCTGTTCCCATAGTCTCTAATGCACGCAGATTGTGGTGTTGCAAAACTGCGTCAGCACCAGTGTGCAAAACTGCTCCATGTCTTCTCTCTGCCGTCTGTCTCATCCAGCTGCAGAAGGGAAGGGGCCTCGGGCGGCATGCTATGGCTTAAGAGACAAGTGTGGTGTCCTGGCTCTATAGTGGACTGTAGCCAGCTCCCTGCCCCTGCAGTCTCTTCCCCTCAAAGCCTTGTCCTCTGGCTGGTCTCATTCTGTGACTCCCTTTGGGGTCAGAGCGTGCATAGCTTGCAGCTGTGGGCTTGACAGAGGGCTTTGTCCCAGCTTGGGAGCTCGCCCCAGGGACCACTGCCTTTATCCCGAGCTGGCTGTGACTGAGGTCTCTCTCTCATGCCTGTTTCACAGATTGGCCATGACTGAGGCTTGGGTAGTGTCACAGTGAACAGTAAGGCATCATGCAGGTGTGGCTTCAGTGTCTCCAGGAAGCCATGGCATAAGAGGAATGGTGACTCAGGTCTAACATCTGCCCTGCTTCCTTGTCTCCGTCCACAGCACTGAAGTGTGGAAACCTGCCTTTGCTGCTCTGCCGCCAGGGCTTGTGGGGCTGTGACTTCTCAAGGTGCACAGCCAGTCCCAGGCTGGAACAGGCTTGAATGGCGCTGGCTATGGAGGCCTCTCTGGATGCTGGGCTGTGTTTCTCTTGACTATGAATCTAGTGGTTTTGCATGGTTTGGGTTTTGTCTTGACTGGGACCAGCTCGCTCTGTTGCTCAGGCTGGTTGGTCTTGAACTCATTGGCCTGAATGTGGCTCTTGTCACTCGGGAAGCTTGAGCCAGATGGTAATAATTGTACATGCACCAAACTCACTGCTGACTGAGCCATGGCGCCTTGGGAATGGATGCTTGGTGTGCTTGGGTGCTATGGAATTGAACTTTCTAAAAACTTGAAAATATTTGCAGTATAGACTTTGCCAGTGGAACCTGTGTTCTAGAAGAGCTATGGCAGGTGGCATGCTGTTGTCTCCTTTTCTCAGACGTGACAAACAGCCATCTCCCTTTTGTTAGTCCTACTGCTCTAGGGAGGTTGTTCCAGAGGCTTGCTGAAGTGTTTATGTATATGTGTGCATGTGCGCTGCATGTGAGCAGAGGTCAGATGATAACCTGAGGGAGTCTGTTCTCGCCCTCCACTCTGGGTTCTAGAGCTCTAACTTGGGTTTTCGGGCTTGCACAGAAGCATCTTTACCTGCTGGGACATCTTGCTGGCTCCACATAGTGTTTTTTTTGTTTGTTTGTTTTTTCCAGAAAGGGTTTCTCTGTATTGTTTTGGAGGCTGTCCTGGAACTCCCTCTGTAGACCAGACTGGTCTCAAACTCACAGAGATCCTCCTGCCTCTGCCTCCCGAGTGCTGGGATTAAAGGCGTGCGCCACCACCGCCTGGCTACATAGTGGTATTTTCATGTGTTCTTTCTCCACATTTGCTCCAAGCCTCAGATCTTTTTCCTGCAGTCCAGCCTCTTCCCCTCCCTCCACTTCGCAGCCCTCTGTACTCCTTCCCCTCCCCCCAGCCTGACTCTCTTTGTCTGGGTATTTTGCTCTGCGCACAGGTGCCTGGTTCCCCCAGAGAAACCGGCTGCAATTGCGTTGTTTTGAACCTGAAATGATCTTACAGTGCTGGTTCAGAGCCTGGGAGTCCCTTCCAGGACAGGACAGCTTCCCTCCTGACTCAGTCTCTTGATCTCTAGCATCACAGGCCCGCCAGGCTAAGGAAGGTTGTTTATTTGTTTTTATAGACAGCGTCTCACTGTGCAACCCTAAGCAGCCTGGAACTTGCTCTGTAGACCAGGCTGGCCTCAGACCCAGGTCCTCCTGCCTCTGCCTCCTGTGTGCTGGGATTTGAAGGTGTGAGCCACCACTTAAGGAAGTTCCGATGAGCCTCTCAGGAGTGCTCAGTCTCACTCTCCCTTCAGCTGTGTAGACAGCACCCTTCCCTCCCTACATTTGAGCCCGATGGTGGTCCCTTCTTTAAGTTAGCCTCATCTCGCTTTCTTCACTTGACCCTGGTGTATTTGTGTCAGATGTCACAGGCTGGACCATTGATCAAGAACAGATTTACCTCTTGTAAGCTTTGGTGGTTGGGAAGGCCAAGGGACACCTACATCTGGCCAGGCAGAGGGAGCAGGCAGGACACACCCTCATGTGATGCTTCAGAGCACGGAGCCCCGATTGACTGCCACTACCCCAGCTCTTACTGGGGTTGATGTGGCCTGCATTTGAACTTGAGCTTCCATAAAGTGCCTGCGTAGGGACACCCTTTCATGTAGTCACTTGTATGTTTACTTATTTTTCTTGTTTGAGACAGGGTCTCACTACAAAGCCCAGGCTGTCTTGACTCACAAGAATCCTGTCTCGACCACCCCTCCCCTCAATGTTGGGAGACCCCCACTGCTGTATAGTGGCTGCTTACTTCCGCACTGGGGTGACTTGTTCCCCCAGATGACTTCTTCCTCCCCATAGAGGGGCATCTTGTTGACCAGTGAGGGAGGGAAGTAGTGGTTAGAGCCCAACAGGTGACCTTGGAGTCCTGGGTGTCCTTGGTGCTGAGTGGAGGACTCTTAGCTTCCTGTACAGGGGAGTGATTACTTTCAACGTGAGGCTGGCTGCATCCTGGAAGATGCCTGCAGCATGAGCCTTGTGGACTATCACTTGTCAGGCAGCTGATAGAGGACAGGATAGGTGAGGACTCAAAACAGTCAGCCAAGTGCATGCTGGCGACTGAGGGACACAGACAGACACTCCCACCTCACAGGGTGAGGAGGAAGTCTTCACCACTTCACCGGAGGTGAGCCTCTGTGCTGGGTTTTGGCCTTGCTTTGCCTGTTAGGTGCACACATTTTTACCAGAACTGGGCTGTATTTTGGTGATGACAAAACATTGTGTATTGTCACCTCCACTTAGAAGGCTAAGCCAGGAGACCACTTGACCCTAGGAGTTCAAGAGGAGCTTGGGGCTGGGTGTGGCAGTTCCTGCCTTTAGTATCAGCATTCAAGAGCCAGCATCAGGAGGATCATCAGGAGTTTAAGGCCATCCAGGGCTATCTAGCAAGGCCTTGTCTCAACAAAAATGAAACAAACAAACAAACAAAAAACCCAGAACAACCAGCCTGGACTATATCTGAGGAGGAAGAAGTCCAAGATGGGAGGCTGCTTTTTGTGCTGACAGGCCATATGTCCACTTGTGGTCACTTTCTGACTCTTGTGTTTTATTCAGATTCCCAGTGGAAACCCGTTATACGAATCTTACTACAAGCAGGTATGTCCGTGTGCTGTCCTCCTGCGTTCCATTTTAGTTCACTCTACTGTGTGGGTGTGTTTGTGTTCACCTGTGCCATAGTGTGTCTGTAGCAGTAAAGGGACAGCTCCGAGTCAGTGCTCCCCTTTCACTGTGTGGGCCCCAGAATCAAATTCAGGCCCTCAGGCTTAGCGGCAGGAGCCTTGGCCCACTGACCACCTCTCCAGCCGGCCAGTGCCTTTTAATGTGTTGTGTATGTACTCGTGTGTGAACCCAGAGCCGTTACATGCAGAGCAGCCCAGCATCTGCCGTCTTTGTAGTAGCAGCTGGGCACACATCTGAAGCAGCTTTCTGTGAGCACATACGGAGGCAGCATCTGTAAATGGTTGTGCCCACAACGCTGTAAGTGGTTCTATTGACTCTTGCTGTCCTGTTCCAGGTGGACCCTTCCTACACAGGGAGAGTTGGGGCCAGCGAGGCTGCGCTTTTTCTGAAGAAGTCGGGGCTCTCTGACATCATCCTGGGGAAGGTAGGGATTCTGACACCCCTGGAATGAAAGCCAGCTGTACAGACCTGGGTGGGGCCAGGGAATCCTGAGCTTCTTTGCTGTAGTGGGTGGATCTGAAAGCCTGGAGAGAGCCTGGAGAGCTGACCTTCCATGCCATCCGAGCACTTGAGGCTGTGGCAGAAGGATCATGAGTTCCTTGCCAGCCTGGCCTACATAGTATGACTATGTTTTTGAAAAGATAAGCCAAACCTACAATGCCAGACATGGCGGAATTCTCCTTTAATCCCGGCATTCTGGAAGCAGAGGGCTGTGGATATTTGGAGTTTGAGGCCAGCCTGGTAAATCTCAGATGGTGGTCACCTTCAAGGTGTAGGCAGTAGACTGGACCAGAGTGCTTTTGGTGTCTTGATAGCTATGGGTTTACATTGCATGTAATGACTGAATAGGGCACTAAGTGAGCATGGGGTTCTATGGGCCCTGCCACCAGATGACTGTGTGCCTGGAAGGTCCCAGTGCCCAGGGCAGAGAAGCAGTTGATGTGACTCCTGTTCTGTCCAATTTGACTGGTGAGTGACAGTCACACTCACAGGCACTTTTATGTCTCCACAGATATGGGACTTGGCAGACCCCGAAGGTAAAGGGTTCTTGGACAAACAGGTATATACGCACACACAGAGCAGGGGAGGGGCTGGGCACCGCTAAGGCCAGGCGACTTGTACATTCCTTCCACTGTCTGCCGTCATCCACACATAGCTCTGAGGAATTCTCACTTTGGAGTGCAGGTCTGTATGTATGCAAGCCCCTGACTTGGTGACATTCCTTTGACTGTCTTGGGACTGTCTCAGCTTCTTTACCTGCTGCTATGATAAATCGCCCTGACAAAAGCAGCTCTGGTGAAAGCGTATCTGCGACTCACAGCTCCAGGTGCAGCCACTTGGGACCTGAGGCAGGAGGAACCTGAGGCAGCCAGTCACACCCCATCCAGGGCCTAGCCAGGACTGGGTACCCACATGCAGGGTATGCTTTCCCATGTCAGCTAACCCCTCACCAGCCAGCCTAACTGAAGCAGCTCCTCATCCAGACTTCCTTCTTGGGTAGTTCCCGTCATGTCCATTGACAGTCAGCTACACAGTAAGGGGGACTCGGTTGTAACAGAGCCAGGCCCCAGCACCCACATTTGACAGCTTGCAACCACCTGTAACTCTAGCTTCAAGTTATCTATGCCCTCTTCTGATTCACCCACACATAGATGTCCACAGACACACACACACACACCCCTTTAAACAAAACAAAACAAAAAACCTAAACATCACAATGAATTTACCGGTGATTAAAACATTTTAAAGATTTAAAATAATTAAAATACATTGTACCTTCTATGGTGGCACATGCCCTTAATCTCAGCACTCAGGCAGCAGAGGCAGATGGATGGCTCTCTATGAGTTCGAGGCCAGCCTACTGTACATATGGAGTGCCAGGACAGCCAGGGCCGCACAGTGAGACTTTGTCTCACAACAGACAAAACCCACAGGGTGCAGAGAGACCAGAAATTCTGTGTGTGTGTCTGTGGCCCATGAAGGTCAGAAGAAGGTGCCAGATCCCTGGAGAGAGGTGATAGGCAGCTGGGAGCTGCCTGATGGGTGCTGGGAGCCAAACCCTGGTTTTCTGCATGAGCAGCGTGTGCTCTTAATCATAGAGCCATGTTCAGCATAAAGACTCTTCTGTATCAAAGTGACCTGAGAATTCTGTGAAGATTCCAAATGCAGTTGAGTGGTTTCTACCCACCCCTTCTAGTTGTAATCAAGGCTTACAAGTCACACAATTGCAGTACTGTGTCAGACCACTGTGGTCACAGCACTAACAGGCTGGCTGTTTTCTGGTGCCCTCTACCATGGAGGCTTCGCCTTAGAGCCCTGGGCTCTGCTCTTCAGGAATATTCTGAGTGGAATTGTGTCTGTCCCACAGTGCTGGCTGTGGGAACTTACAGGTAGCTTTTCGGTGCTGTGCTCACCGGGCCTGGATGCAAGTGAGTTCCTAGCTCCTCTCCCAGGCTCTGTCTGAGGCTGTTCTGTGTCCTCAGGCCTCAAGCCTGTCCATGTGCCAGCCACTGACCACCAGCCACCAGCATCTCCCTCCCTTGTGATTGGGTTGCTCGCCGGCTGCTAAGTGAAGGTGCTGAGGGACCTGATTTGATTCCTCGGACCACCTTCCTGCCCTGTTCTCCACAGCTTCTGTGACGTCCTGTGAAAAGTGTAGTCTCTCCCCATGAGAAGCTCTGCCCTAGGGTGCATACCTGTCCCAGCCTCTGTCACTGGTGAAGCTGACCAGAACACCTGGAGAGGAAGGGCTGGTTGGTCATAGACTACAGTTCATCATTGAGGGGAACTAGGAACTCCAGGCAGGATCAATGCTCACTGCTTGCTTTCCTGGCCTGTTCCATTTGGCTTGCTCAGACATGTCCCCAGGCCAGTCAGATGGAGGGATCAAGGTTTGTTTTTTTTTTTAAATACGTTTTTATTTAAATTAGAAACGTTCTTATTTTACATATCAATCCCATTTCCCTCTCCCTCCCATCCTCCCATGACCCCGATCAAGGTTCTTTCTCAGCTGACTTTAGTTTGTGTCAGGCTCACAGCTTATCACAGAACACAGGTCATGCTGGCACTCATGAGGCTGAGGCAGGAGGATTAAGAGTTCCCTTCAGACTCAGCTGCGTAGTAAGAGTCTGTTTTAAAAAGAGGCCAGAGAGATGGCTCAGTGGTTAAGAGTGCTTACTGCTCTTGCAGAGACCTGAGTTCAGTTCCCAGCACCCACTAAACTCCTCACAGCCTCCTGTAACCCCAGTTCTAGAGATCTAATGCCTCTGGGCTCTGAGGGTACTCACACTTGTGCATGCACTCATAATTAGTACTAAAACTAGCTGTGTGGTGGCACGTCTTTAATCCCAGTACTCGGGAGGCAGAGGCAGGTTGGTCTCTGTGAGTTCAAGGCCAGCCTGGTCTACAACAGCGAGTTCCAGGACAGCCTCCAAAAGCCACAGAGAAACCCTGTCTCGAAAAACAAAACAACAACAAAAAATCTATTACCTGGACTGAGGTACGGCTTAGAAAAAAGTGCTTGCCTTGTATTCCTGAGGCTTTAGGTCCTACAAAAGCAGAAAACAAAGTAGGCTGTGTGTATTTGGCCCTTCAGTTGTGGTGTGTGGACTGCTCCAGCATGTCATGACCTAGAAGCTTGTTGCCTTTAGGAAGTCACTTTGCGGGAAACTTTTCCGGCTCAGTACTTACTAACTGCTGTCTGCTGTGCTGTCTGCAGTCACCACAGTGTATTAGGAGCCACTCTGTCCGCTTTATGATGTTAATATTCCTCTCGTTGGGTCCACAGGGCTTCTATGTTGCGCTGAGATTGGTGGCCTGTGCACAGAGTGGCCACGAAGTCAGCTTGAGCAATCTGAGCCTTACCATGCCACCACCGAAATTTGTGAGTATGCGAGCCATCATGCTCTCTTGGTACTGTGTCTGTGTACATACATGTGCATGACAGCTCCATGTTTTCTCTTGTTTCCCATGTTTTAGTCAAGGTAAAATGCATATACCATGTAACTCACCATTTTTAAATGCACTGTTCAGCTAGGCGTAGTGGCTCACACCTTTAATCCTAGCACTCGGGAAGCAGAAGTCAGCAGATCTCTGTGAGTTCTAGGCCAGTCTGATCTATAGTGCTAGTTCCAGATATCCAGGGATACACAGAGAAACCCTGTCTTGAAAACAAAACAAAATAAAATAAAATGTGCAGCTGGGTAGCACTTATATATTACAGTGTTGTGCAGACATCAGCTGGAGTTCCAGTTCTTAGCTCCCAAAAGGAAGGCCCTGGGCCATGTCTGTTTCTCTGTCTCCCAGCCCTTGGTAGCCACACATCTTTCTGCGTAGCCATGTCTTTTCTGATGTTGCTTTCATGGCGTCACACTGGGTGTGGCCTTGTGTGTGCATCTTTCACTGACTCTGCCCAGATCCGGGTACTTTACTCTTATGACTGGCTGGGCACTGCTTACTTGTCTGTCTGCTGAGCTCTGTGGTGTCTCCTGCACTTTTGCTTGTTGGGAGCAGTGTAGCTGTGAATGGTCGTGGATTTGTGCTTGCACCTGTGGGTCTATACCTGGGAGGGGAGCCTTGGGGTCATAGGTCATTCCCCACTTGGTGACCTTCCCACTTTGGAATGAGATCCTTTTGGTTGTGTTTACACATGTGATACTGTCCCATTTTTCCTCAGCATGACACCAGCAGCCCACTGATGGCCACACAACCGTCTACAGAGACCCACTGGGCTGTGCGGGTAAGTGAGAGGGATAGTGCCATGGTTGATGTGCTGGCCACATAGATCATTTGGAACATTCTAGAACACCTTTGCCATCTGTATGTCTCCACAGAATCAGAGGATCATATCTGTGTTTTGACTTTGTTTTTTTTTGTTTGTTTGTTTGTTTTTGTTTTTCAAGACAGGGTTTCTCTGTAGCTTTGGAGGCTGTCCTGGAACTCACTTTGTAGACCAGGCTGGCCTCGAACTCACAGAGATCCGCCTGCCTCTGCCTCCCGAGTGCTGGGATTAAAGGTGTGCGCCACCAACGCCCGGCTTTGACTTTGTTTTTAAGATTTTACTTTTTTAAATTATTTGTATGTCTGTGGTGGGTATGTGTGCCCTTGGAGGTGAAAGACAGGTGGGATTCGCTGGAGCTGGAATTACCAGCTGTTGCGAGCCACCTAACTTGGGCCTTGGGAACTGCACATGGCTGCTCTTAACCTCTGAGTCATCGCTCCAACCCTTGTTTTGTTTTTTGCTTATTGAGAAAGGGTCTCTTTCACCCAGGCTGACATCAAGCTCAGCCTGTAGCTGAGTCAGAGCTCTGAACTCCTAGTCTCTGCCTCCTCAGCATGGGGATGGCTTGAAAAATCAGCACTTTAGGTATTCCTTTTCCATGTAGAGGGCAATGTGGCCCTGACTCTAGGGAGGAAAACAAGCATGATGGCTGTCGTAGTCAGTGTCCTATTGCTGTGAGGGGACACTGTGACCACAGCAGCTCTTAGAAAGGAAAGCCTTTATTTGGGGCTTACTTTAGTTTCAGAGGCTATGGCAGGCAGACATGGTGCCGGAGAGGAGTGAGAGTTCTCCGTCCGCATCAGCAGTCAGCAGGAAGACAGAGAGAGCCGCTGGGCCTGGCTTGGGCTTTTAAAACCTCAAAGCCACCTACAGTGATGCACTTCCTCCAGCAAGACCACAGCTACCCCAACAAGACCACAACTCCTAATAGTGCCACTTCCTGGTGTGGCCATGCTCACTGAAACCACCACATTCCACTCCCTGGCCCCATAGACTTTGGTAGACATAAGGCATTCAGTCCAACTTCTAAAGCCACCAGTCTGTCACAGTGTCCACACTGTTTGAAAGTCCAGAGTCTCTTCTGAGTCCACGGCAGTCTGCTTGCTTTGTTTTGTGACAGAGTTTCTCTTTGTAGCCCTGGCTGTTTTGGAACTCACTTTTTAGACCAGGCTGAGCTCAGAGATCTGCCTGCCTCTGCCTCCTGAGTGCTGGGATTAAAGGTTGTTGCCACCATGTTGGCTTCATGGCAGTCTCTTAGCTGTAACCAACTGTAATCCTCTGTAAAAATCAAAATTGAAGCAGATTGCATACTTCCAATATCCAATGGCACAGAATATACATTACCATTCCAATAGGGAGAAATTGGAACACAGTGAGGAAATACTGGACCAAAGCAAGATTGAAAACCAGCTGGGCAAATCCTGCATCTCTCTGTCTAATGTCAAAGGGTTCTTCAGCTCTGGTTTCACTCCCTCAGCGGGTATCTCATGGCTCTGGCATCTCTAACAAACTTTACCTTCACAGCTTCACACCATGGCCTCTCTAGGTCTCCATGAGGGACACCTCTGACACATGCCTGGCCTCAGTGGCTTTCCCTAGTCCTGGAGGGAGATTCCACAACCCCTTTCTTGTGTCTTTGACTCTAAAGCCAGAACCTTGTGGCTGAGACTGCCAAGGTCGGCTGCATGCTGTGGCTCCCAGTTCAAACTTTCATCAGTTTTCTGTTTTTAGTGGTTTCCTTCAGTGCCTAAGCCTGGCTGTCCTAGAACTCACTCTGCAGACCATACTGGCTTAGAACTCAAAGATCCAGCTTCCTCTTCCTCTCAGTGCTACAATTAAAGATGTACACCACCATGCCCGGCCCTAAACTTTTAATTCCTTTTGTAAGTTGGGGTCTTGTCTTGAGGGCACCACTCCCTTTATTGCATTTAGGATCTCCTTGAGCACTGGACTAGCTCCATTGGACCTTCTGATGCTCCTTTTCTCTGCAAACTGCACCTTTTGTATTTTTCCTTGCTTATCTTGCTTCTTTTTTAAAAAATTATAGATCTGTATAAGAGTAACTACTAATAGGCAGGTAGTGGTGTGCATGTCTTTAATTTCAGCACTCGTGAGTCAGCGGATCTCTGTGAGTTTGAGGCAGGCTGGTCTACAGAACAAGTTCCAGGACAGGCAGAACTACACAGAGAAACCCTGTCTCAAAAAAACAAGGGGGGAGGGAGAAAGAGAGGGGAGGAGAGGAGAGGAGAGGAGAGGGAGGGAGGGAGGGAGGGAGGGAGGGAGGGAGGGAGGGAGGGAGGGAGGGAGGGAGGGAGGGAGGGAGGGAGGGAGGAGAGGCCTCACTAATAACCACAGGATAAAGTCAGTATTAGGCTGCCCTGAAATCTCTGTCAACACCATTAACTCAAAACCTGTTAATTTAGCTTCAGGGAATTTTTCAGACAAGGGCAAAAAACAGCCACCCCCCCAAAATCACAAGAAGGTCTCTAGGCCACATACTGACATTCTCCTCTGAAACTTCTCAAGCTGGACCTCTACAGTTCAGATCCCCTCAGCACCACTGTCTTCCATGTTTCTCCTGGTTTGGTGCATTGAACTCCAACCTAATCCCCAGGCAGGCAGGAATGCCAGGGGACTCTGCGGTCTGACAGTGAACGCACAGAAGCTGGTGGGGCTAGCTCAGGACCTGTGGGTGCCACATCCAGTCAGCTGCGCCAGTGAGGGCTGATTGTGAGAATCAAGCTCTGTGGGGCGCCAAGTGAATCCACAAGACCCAAGATAAATGATTACAGGTATTTATTAGGGAAGCACTTACACAATAGTAAATAACCAATATGGTCTTCCTGCTCCTGAAGATGCAGTCTCTGCCTTTCCAGAGTTCTGACTCCCCCCCCCCCACCAAGAGAGCGAGCCAACTCTTCCTCTTCCTTATAAGAGGTCACATCTACTCACCTGAAGCCATGCCCCTTGAATTCAGCCACCCCTGCAAGTCCACTGGCAAAACAACACACCACTATAGTATATACTTGCAAAACCTAAGTGATCCTGATGAGCCGGAGTTGGTCCTGCAGCCAAGTGTGTGTTGCGGATGCTCTCAGAGGATGGGAAGCAGCCCCCATGCCACATTTCCCTGTGCTTCTCTCTTCCTTCCTGACCCGCTCTGTCTCTTTTGAACTTGGACAGACCTTGAGCTTTTCAGGCAAGGGCTTCACCATCAAACTGCCCTTAGTCCTTTAATTTTGTTTCTGTGAATCAGGGTCTTCTGTAGCTCCGTCTGACTTCAAACCTCTATGTAGCCAAGGATGGTCTTGAACCCTCTACCTCCTCACTATTGGATTGCAGGTAGGGGCATGTGTTTTACACAGTGCTGGAAGTGGAGGCCAAGGTATTTTGTGTATGCTGCCTACCAAGCCATGCACCAACACTCTTTTCAAAACCTTTTTTTCTTAGTGATGAGATTGGAACCCAAGGCTCCATTGCACTGAGCCCCATCACAGTTTATGTTTGGACGCAAGACTTTCGCTCTTGAAGTTGACATTTGAAACGGTCTTCCCATGTAGTACAGACTGGCCTCAAACCCTCCATCTTGGGTGCTGAAATGAGAGATGTGTGCCATTGTCCCCACTGGAGGTGGCTTTGGTCATGTTTGCTTCCAAACTAACCTTCTGTGAGGTTCCTTGATACACTGCAAAGGCATTCCCTGCCATCAGGAGACCTGACGTGGAAGATGTGGACCAGCTTCTCTCCCGCTCACCATGGCCCCCAGGCCATGAATTCTCCCTCCCACTGGTACAGTTGAGGTCTGTGTAGACGGTCCTCTCCACGTGCTCTATACTCACTCCAGCCCCTCCTTTCCCGGTAGGTGGAAGAAAAGGCCAAGTTTGATGGCATCTTTGAAAGCCTTCTGCCAGTCAATGGTCTGCTCTCTGGAGACAAGGTCAAGCCAGTCCTCATGAACTCGAAACTCCCTCTGGATGTGCTGGGCAGGGTAAGGGCTGGGTGCGTTCCCAGTCTGTTACGTGACCTTTCTCCCAGTGTGCACTGCACCTCCAGATGTTTCTGTTATGTGACCTTTCTCCCAGTGTGCACTGCACCTCCAGATGCTTCTGTTACGTCACCTTTTCTCCCAGTGTGCACTGCACCTCCAGATGCTTCTTATACTGCCGAGCCGTTTCATTTGCCTTTGGCTTATGTCTTTAAATGAATGCTTTGTCCTGCCTGTCAGTCTCAAGTCAAGGCATTTTCAGCTCTATTGCAGAGTTAGAAATAGTCTTAGATACTCCTTTTTTGGTTTTATCATGGGGTTTCCTATATCTCCCATATTGGCTGGGGGTAACCTTAAACTCCAATCCACCTCCATAGTGCAGTTCTTTTATTTATTTGTTTGTTTATTTTAAAGCCTCAATTTTGGTGGCTGTGGCCATGCACACCTATAATCCCAAGAGGCTGAGGCAGGAGGATCATGAGTTTTAGGCCAACCCAGTCTGTGTAGCGGGACCCTGCATCAGGAGGTTCATCAAAAATGAACCTCAGATTTGCTTATACTCATGCAAATCGTTTGGCTCCAGACCCCCCACTATTAGCACTGTTCCTCTAGAGGGGTATAGCTGTGGCCCAAGGCTTCATCCTGGTAGCCTGCTTTCTGATGTATGTGGGCTAGGCAAGCTTATTGCCATCTGTGTGGCCTTGCTATGGGGGGACCATGGTTGTTCAGCCAGAACCCAAGACCCTGGCCTCTAGCAGAGTCTAAAAACAGCAAACACTGTCCTCAGTGGCTTTTAGAGGCCGTTTTCTAGTGCCCATACATGTGCCTCTAAGTTCTAGAATTTTGAGCATGTGCAGCATCTCCAGTTACATTACATTTTAAAATAGACCTTAAAGTCTGTGATATTGGGTCTAGAAAGATGTCTTAGGGCCTAAGAGCCCTACAGAGAACACTATTTGATTCAGATTTCAGTTGAAAGGGTTGCTTGGGATGTGGTTTTCATTCTGGCCTTTGTACAAACAGTGAACATGCTGCAGGAAGGGTCTAGGTCGCAGCTCCCTTAGAGGATGGCTTTCAGAGAGCTGCAGGGTGTCAGGTTGTTTGTTTTGCTCTTTTTAGGTAGGGTCTTAGTCAGTGTTCTATTGCTGTGAGGTGCACCATAATCACAGTAACTCTTATAAAAGAAGGCATTTAATTGGGGCTTGCTTATAGTTTCAGAGGGTTAGTCATGATCATCATGACAGCAAGCATGGTGGCAGGCAGGCAGACATGGTGTCGGAGAAGTAGTTGGTCCATAAACAGAGAGGCAAGGAGAGACTTGATCTGACCTGGTATGGGCTTTTGAAACCTCAAAGCACACCCCCCAGTGACACAGCTCTTCAACAAGAGCACACCTCTTACCTTAACAGTTCACCAGCTGAGGACTCAGCAGGCAAAGATGTGGCCTGTGGGGGCCACTCCCATTCAGACACCACACACAAGATCTTGCTATGTAGCCAGGATGGGCCTGGAGCTTTCTATGTCTGTCAGGTTGCTTTTGAGCTTCCAATCCTCCATCCTCATCCTCTTGTCACAGACTAGTTCTTTCCTTTTCTTCTGTATGTGTGTTTGTGTGCGTGCGTGCGTGCGTGCTTGGGAAGACAGGTATACATCTCCTGAAGTGCCTCTAACTGCCTTGGCCTCGTTTCACTATCAGTTCAGAAGTTGTCTGTGCTAGTGAGACTTACAGGAGCTTCCTTCCCACATTCCCCTCATGGATCTGTCCGTCCCCTGCAGGTCTGGGACCTCAGTGACATTGACAAAGATGGACATCTGGACCGAGATGAATTTGCTGTGGTAAGTCCTCTGTGTCCTGTTTCCAACTTGCTTGAGATCTAAGGAAGTATTCATGGGGTGGGTACGAGAGTCTTTTATGTGTGTTTAGAGTTTTAAAAGTGTTTATTTTGGCATTTTCCAATATTTAGAAAAGGTGTTCAGGGGTACAGTAGAGTCCAGATTCATCTTCACTGATCCAGTGTGATCTTATAATGCCTACTTTTTTGCCATCCTCTCTCTCTCTCTCTCTCTCTCTCTCTCTCTCTCTCTCTCTCTCTCTCTCTCTCTCTCTCTCTCTCTCTCTCTCTCTCTCTCTCTCTCTCTCTCACACACACACACACACACACACACAGTTTTCCCCTTGGATCATTTTCAAAGAGATAAATTGCAAACGCAGTACTTTTATGGGGTTTCTCTGGCTAGCCATGGCTGTCCTGGAACTCAGTCTGTAGACAAGGCTGACCTCAAACTGGGATCTGCGTACCTCTGCCTCCCAAGTAGTGGAATCAAAGGCATGTGCTACCACTGTCAGGCTTGAAGCTGGTCTTGCATTGATTCTCCTGCCTCTGTCTCCTTAGTTTTAGAATGATAGGTGTGTACAGTACCTGGACTTTATTACATTTTAGAATAGACTTTGAAATGTGTAATATTGGGGCTGGAGAGATGCCTTAGGTCTAAAGAGCCATGCGTTTGATTCCTACCTCCCACATGGAGGCTCACTGCACTCTTTACCTCCAGTTACAGGAGATCTGATGCCTTCTTCTGGCCTCCATAGGCTCTGTACACACCTAGTGTACAGACACACAGGCAGGCAAAACACTCATAGATATAAAAGTCAATCTTCAAAATCTGTGTTTTTGCCAGTGTGTGCCTGACATCCCAGTATTCAGAAGTCTGAGGCAGGAGGATTGGGATTCTGGTCCAGCCTGGGCTTCATATCAAGACTTTGCCTCAAAATAAATAAATACATAGACATGCTTTAGAACATGTCCCTCTGCTTCCCATGCCTGTCCTTCTGTCCCTTCTGGGTCTGTGTAACTCCAGATTTCAGGATGTTGGAACTCAGCAGCCCTGGGGCTTGGTGGTCATACTGCATGCTGACAGAGTGTACAAGTGCCTGGAGTACTCAGCCAAGGCTGCTACATGTGCATGTGTCACTTCTCCCTGTCTTTGTTCTTGCTGTGAGTGTTCTCATGGGGAATAGATTAGTAACAGTACTGAAGTAATTGCAGCACAGACTGGGGTCGCAGCTCAGTGAGTAGAATGCTTGCCTAGCTTGCCTAGCCCTGGGGTCATCCTGGGCCACATGAATCAGGTGTGGTGGCACATGCCTGTAATCTCAGTACTCTGGAGGTGGCCACAACAGGAAGATCAGGTGTTCAAGGTCATCCTCAGCTATTTAGTGAGCATGAGGCCAGCCTGGGAAACATGAGACACCTGTCTGAAAACAGTCATGGCAATGTGCTATAATAGCAGTGTTAACAAATGTTGTCTTTGTTTCTGGAATTTCCTACCTAACATTCAGACCATGGGTAACTCAAATCTTGGCAAGGATCCCTCAGAACTGGCTGTGTGGTGTCTGGATGGCTGTCATCTGGGCTCACTTCACTTGCCCAAACTCAACCCATCTCACAAAGCTGCAGAGGAGGATGATGCCTGAGAAAAGACTAGCAAATTCCTTGGAGCCTCTTGGGGTCCCCGTGCCTCCCAAGACTGCATGAGACTCTTTGTGTCCTGTGGCCCTGCCCTCAGGTCCCTGCTCTTGTTGTTGGCACCACAGGCCATGCACTTGGTGTACCGCGCCTTGGAGAAGGAGCCAGTGCCCTCCGTCCTGCCCCCATCCCTCATCCCACCCTCCAAGAAGAAGAAGACGGTGTTCGCAGGTGCTGTGCCCGTCCTGCCTGCCAGCCCTCCACCCAAGGACAGCCTCCGCTCCACGCCGTCCCACGGCAGCGTCAGCAGCCTCAACAGCACAGGCAGCCTGTCCCCAAAGCACGGCGTCAAGCAGACTCAGGTCAGTGGCCACGACTACTTCTTGACAGCAAAAAAGAGAAAACTTTAATCCAATTCTCTAAAAGATTTTCTAGAGCTAGGGGGCTGGAGAGATAGCTTAGTGGATAAGAGCACTGGCTGCTCTTCCGGAGGACCCAGGTTCAATTCTCAGCACCTACACTGCAGCTCACATCAGTCTGTACTTATACATGTTATGCATAGACAATGACATCAGTACACATAAAACAAACAAACAAATAAATAAACTAGAAAGATTGCTAGAAGGATTCAGAATGAGCTTTCTTGCTCACTTGCAGGTAAGTGAGATTGTTCCCTGGTGTGTATGGAACCTGGGCTCCAGGACCCCTCGGGTGCCAGTGCCCTCCGGTGCTCAAGTCCTCATTGAAGTGATATAGTGTCTGCACAGAGCCTGGTGTGCCCCTAGACTCACCACATTGAGAGAAAAGACTCATTTATTTATTTACCAGTTTATGCGCATGCATTCGTGAGTGTGTGCACACTGGAGGGCAGAAGAGTATCAGATACCCTCCTCTATCAGTGTAGTCCTTTGAGGCGGGGTCTCCTCCTGACCCGGGACTCTTGTTTCCTGGCTAGACTGCAGCCACAAAACCCCAGTGGTCTCCCTGTCTTTGACCTTCTTGCAGCAGGAGTTGCAGGCACTTGCAGGATGCGTGTTGCATGGTTTCAGGATCAGCGCTCCTGTCTTCATGATTATGTAGCAGGCAGTCCCATCCGCTGGGCCAGTGCCCAGTCCTGGCCCCGTCTCCTCTGCTTGCTTTAGATGCCTGCTGTGGATACCATGCTGCCTCCTCATCTCCCATGTGCTTAGACACTGACGTGGGGGACAATGTTGCCTGCATGCTTAGTGCACAAAATTATTTGGTGGGCAATGAGAAAGATGCCTGTCAGTGTTGAGCTGGGTAGGAGCTATTCTGCTTCTTTCGTTTTGAGACAACAGCTTGCTGTGTACCCCAGACTGATCCAGAGGCTTCCATTCCCTTGCCCCAGCTCCTGAATTCTGGGATGACAGATAAGTGTCTGTCAGTATTTTTTCTGAGGTGGGTGCAGAGCCTGTGGGTATGTGGGGGTGACTGTAGTACCCTTCTTCAACCCCCACCACACACTCCTAGGTGCCTTCTTCATATCCCTGTCCAGCTGTAGGCTCGTTCTCTGCCCCAACCCTCTCTTCCTGCCTCTGTGCCTCTCCTCGTCAGGAGGCCAAGTTCCTCAGCTCAGTCCTCCCTTTTAGACTTTTACTTGGCCAGATGTGTGGCATGACCTCTGATTGCTGTCACACAGAGCCCCTTTCCAGTCCACACATCTTGCCATTCTGTGGCTGCCTGCAACTCCCCTAGAACATTGTGGTAGGACCAGGACCCTTAATGAACACACACAGGGGTGTGTGCCACCGCAGGTGTGTCGGGCAAGAGGACAGCTGCAGGAGTTCGTTCTCCTCTTCTGTGTGGAATATGGTGATCAAACTCAGGTTGACAGGCTGGGCCATCTCTCTGGCCCTTCTTTTGTGTTTTGAGAGTAAACTTGGGCAGGCGGGTGGGCCAGCACCCTACTCATTGTCAGAACGTGAAAGTGACGGCAAGAAAGGTAGATGGGATCAGTGTGCTCTCCGTGACTAGTAGAGAACCTGTGTGGCCCTCGTGTTTCAGAGACTGTAGTGAGGATGGACACCACCGTCACTGGGAAGGAACTCAGTGCCCACAGCTTCTGTGACCACTTGATGTTATGTGTTGGCAGGACAGAGTCAAGCTCACCTCCTAGCCCAGTGTTTTAATGGTTCATGGCTCCCCCTTTTCTTTATTATTTCATGTGTGTGCATACAGCATGCTCCTACAGTTCTGGAAATGGAATTCAGGCCTTGCACATGCCAGGCAAGCATCCTGTAGGTGAACACGCCCTAGCCCCTCTCTGGAGGATTCTAGGCAGGGCTCCGCCCCTGAGCCACACCCCTGCTTTTCCACTCCTGGTGTTTTTCTGCAGCCAGGCTCAAGAATGTGGCCAGAGTGCTCAGTGTTTCACAGTGGTCATATAGTGATCTGTTCTCACATGTACAGTAAGCAAATTAGTAAGCTGAGGGAGTGCTAGGAGTGGGGTTGGTCCCTTTACCTACAAGCCCACTGGAAGGACACCAACAAGGTGACATCTGAGTTGGAACAATGTGAGGCCTCGGCAGGCAAGAGCTGGCCTCCTGCAGCTTTTGTTTCCTAGGACAGCCACCCTACCCCATCTCACCAACTGAGCCTGTGCTGAAAGAGCGTTTGTGAACAGAGGGATGGGTCGGGGTTTGGCTGGGAGGGAAGCAACTGACACAGCCTTGGACTTCCCGGTTCCTTCCAGATTTCCCACCAGGTCAGGCTTTTTGTTTTTGTTTTTGTTTTTGTTTTTGTTTTTGTTTTTGTTTTTTAGATCAGCGTCCCTAGGACAGGGTATTTGTCAAGAAGACAGGCATTTTCTGGGACCCATAGTCATAGTCCCTCAGGCCATCACATGTCACATCACCACAGGAGGGGCACCAGTGCTCTAGTGGTACCCTCTAGCTACAGATTTGCCTTCCTTCACTTATCCCTGATAACACTCGCATCAGTATGCCTGCCCTAGCACTGAAGCAGAGGTTTATTTTGTTAGAACCACACGGGACCTTGTCCATCCCAGGTTTGTAGTTCCTTGGGACACGTGTTCAGAAGCCCTTCTGCCTTGTCAGGTCAGTTCAGCTTGATTGCCACCTGTCATCTTTCCCCACTCTGGCCAGACACCTGCTGCAGCCCCTTAACTCAGAGGTAACAGCATCCTGTCCTGTGACTGAATCCCACAGCCAGGTCTGGCTGCTGGGAACTTTCCTGTCAGAGGACATCGTTTGGCAAGATGAGCATTTAGGAGAGAATAGTGTACTGCAGACAGCTGTGACATCAGCTTGGGCAATCTTAAGTCATGCTAAGATAGGGAGAGTGTTTGGGAGGATGTCTGTGTATGCGATGAGAAAGCACTGAGAGCTTTGGCGTCCATGAGGGTTGGTGTGTACTGATATTCCTCTTGGGCCCAAAAGAGGCTGTGTAGGGAGGGCATGGCTGTACAGCACAGAGCAGTCACTAGCAGATTAAAGACAGGGTCTCACTTATGTACATAGGCTGGCCTGGAACTCCTAATCTTCCTGCCTCCGCCTCACTAGAGCTGACGGGCAGTTATACTAAAAATCAGAACAACAGAAACTGTCACCATGTGCAGAGACTAGCAGCCGCAGAGTTGTCTTGGTTGTTTGTAGCCTGAGATTGTAGCAAGTGTGTGCGTGTACACACACACACACACACACACACACACACACGCGCACGCACGCACGCACGCACGCACGCATGCACACACGCGCACACACGTGCGTGTGCACACACACACGAATGCATGCACACACATGCACACACAGTACATACGTATGTATGTGGTTCTGGGTTCAGAGGTAGCAGTTGTGGTAGCCACAGAGAAGCCCACCTGACTTGAACTTCCCTGTACACGTATCTGTGTGACTATCCTTTCTTTGTTCCCTCACTGTCCCTAGCCAGGGGCTTGGCACCTGAGCTGCATGGACTTGACATGCTCTATAAGAGCTCTGTAAGCAGAGCCTTGGGCTGAAACAGGGCTCATGGCTAAGTCACTCTTGTAACCTGTTTTAGCCACCAGTGGCCTGGGTGGTGCCTGTGGCAGATAAGATACGCTTTGATGAGATCTTCTTGAAGACTGACCTGGACCTTGATGGCTACGTGAGTGGCCAGGAAGTGAAGGAGATCTTCATGCACTCGGGCCTCACACAGAACCTTCTGGCACACATTTGGTAAGGATGGAAACTGGTGGAGGTGGCTCTGAGAGGCCCTGAAGGAGGCAAGTGTGGGGGAGGGCTCCAGTTTCCCAGGTGTCAGCGTCCTGGGAGGTAGGGTCAGACTTCATAGTAAAGAGCTCTGTTGGGACAACTCTCTCCACAGCCTTACTTTGCCTCAGCCACCTGTGACAGTCATTCTGCCTGCCACGTGGGTAAGCCAAAGAGAGCCTTGACAGTTCCAATGAGATCCCATTCGGAAGGGCAGCATCTGCTTCCAACAGGGAGAGAGTAGGGAGTCAGACCCTTGTTTGTTCTCAGGGCTGTGTCCACCCTTACCTGGGGAGATGTAAACCACCCCAGTGCAGTAGGGTACCAGTGAGTTGATTGGGCCTGCAGTTCATAGGTGAGATGCTACTCAGTGGAGTGAGGGTGGGGGCAAAGAGGCTGACGACCCCACAGCTGCATTGATGGAGTCCCCTTCGATTAACTTTACACACTCAGTACATCCTGGCACCTCCTGAGACCCCAGGCTATGTGAGATTAGGGGCAGAATCACAGAATTGGGAATGTGTAGATAAGGGTCCAGTGACCCTGCCCACCCTGTCCTATGGGGACGACTGATTTAGTAGGGTGTCTGTTGCTGCGATCAAACACTTGTTGCCAAAAGCAATGTAGAAATGGTTTATTTTTGCTTACATTTCCAGATAACAGTCCATCACTGAGGGAAGTCAGGCAGGAACTCGAGCAGGAGCCTGGAGGCAGGAGCTGAAGCAGAGGTCCTGGAGGAGGGCTGCTTACTGGCTTGCTCCTCATGGCTTGCTCAGCCTCCTTATACAGCTTAGGACCACCTGCCAAGGGGTGGCATCACCCACAGTGAGCTGCCCCCCCATCAGTCATTAATCAAGAAAATGCCCGCACAAAACTGCCTACAGGCCAATCTGATGGAGGCATTCTCTCAAGAGTCCTCTTCCTAGATGTGTCTGGGTTGTGTAAAGTTTCAAAATCACCTGGCACAGGGATAGTCATGAGCCAACAGGCTTGCTCTCGGGGTCCCCTTGGAAGTAGTCACAGCTGTTCTGGTATAGATGGTGGCCACTATTTGGTGTAACATTTGGTCCTGGGTGGAGGAACCACCCTCTTCCTCCCTCTGTCATCTCAGAATGGGGGCCCTTGTGGCTGGCCTGGTCTAGCTTTGTTAGCTTGTCCAGGCCCAGGCCTTGAGTAACTTCCTGACTGTGGCAGGGAAACTGAGCTGTTCACCCAGTGGTCAGAAAGAACCATCTTGAGTAATCCTAGGCCAGCACGGAGGAGAGCTGGCCAAGGAGCGCGGTCATAGGGTTGCCTCTTGAGACTGCTGCTGCTCCTTCAGAGCTGAACTGCTGTGCCAGACAGCAGGCAAACCTGCCCTTCTCCAATGACGCTCTCCCTGCAAGTAGCTGCTGCTAGAGTGGGCCCTGAAGCCTGTGCCTGCCTCTGGCAAATGACTGCGTCACCATTCACTGTCAGCTCGAGGCTGGGACAGTGCTGTTCTCTCCTGTTCCACACTAGGCACAGTGAGGCCAGAGGCAAGCTCCTGGTAGCAGACACGTGGGCAGGGAGTGTCTCCAGACCTCCATAGTGCAGCTCTTGTCCCCACTGACCCATGTACAACCTCCAGATCTATAGGTTAATCAGGGATGAGAGTGTGGCCCTGCCCCCTCTGCACAGGGCTTTATGGGGTAATTGCATTTCTGCAGTATCTTGCACAAGAAAGCCTGACCCTTACAGTGAGCCGGAGGTGACTGGGGGCGGGGTCCTTCCTCAGACCCACACTTGTCAGTTCTGTGGGCCAAAGCCTCACTCCCATACTGTGAGCCTCACGGAGGCTTATCAGCACTGGGGAAACATGGAGACAGTGCCAGGGGCTTGCTCTGGTCCCGGTGAGCTTGCTCAGGGTAGGTGGCAAGTGCAGCAGCGTGTGTAATTGCATCCCGTGTTTCTCCCAGGGCCCTGGCCGACACGAGACAAACAGGGAAGTTAAGCAAAGAGCAATTCGCGCTGGCTATGTATTTCATCCAGCAGAAGGTCAGTAAAGGCATCGACCCTCCTCAAGTCCTGTCGCCTGACATGGTGCCGCCCTCGGAGAGAGGCACTCCCATTCCGGTGAGTAGCCAGACACCTTGCTTCTGTTGTTTCTACCACGCACCAGAAGGTGGCGCTGGTGCCCCAAGAGCCCCACAGTCCTTGGTCCCCAAGCTCAGGATGGGGGTTGGGCAGCCTGGGGTGTTTTCAGGCCAGTGGCCAGCACTTTGGTCACCTGCTGTACCAGAGATGTGGGCTGCTGACCTCCTGTGACTCTATGTCTGACTTGGTCCTAGGATAGCTCAAGTGCTCTCGGGTCAGGGGAGTTCACTGGTGTGAAAGAGCTGGATGACATTAGCCAGGAGATTGCTCAGTTGCAGAGGTATGTGACTCCTGATGCAGCAGCCTTGTGTCCAAGCCCCAATCAGCCTCTGAGGGAGGGGAGGTCACACGTCTTCTCAGATCTGCTTCTGTTTGGGTCTGTAGCGCTTTGAGCCTGTACTGTCCAGGTAGCCTCAGCAGGTTGTGACTACACAGATGCATAGGGACACAAATAGCAGAGACAAGTCCCGCAGCAGCTGAGGAGGTGGACCCATGCCTGCTGTAGGAGCAGTTAGAGGTGGCCACAGGCCTGGGAACCTCACTGCCTTTTGCTACAAGCTGGTGACTTCTACTGCTTCCCACGTCTCTGCACATGCCTTCCCTAGCCAGCTTGTTTTCCATTCCTGTCCTCCAGAAAGTCCTTTATCATATCTCCCCGTTCCCGCGGCCCCTCCTCAGAGCACATCCCTTAGTGCCGGACGGTGTCCGTGTGTGGCCCCTCCTCAGAGCACTGTCCCTTGCTGCCAGACGGTGTCCGTGTGTAGCCCCTCCTCAGAGCACATCCCTTAATGCCAGACGGTGTCCGTGTGCCCCTGCTCATGTTGAACGTACCTCCAGTTTCACAAGACTGGGTAGCATTTGGTTGGTGTGGGATGTAGGGGATGTTTTCTCTCTGTGTGACAGTCACAGAATTGAGCCACGTGGTGGCTCATAGGAGGGGAGTCCAGATGTCTGTGTCAGCTCTCTAGGGTGTTGGACCCCATAGAGAAGGTGTGTGCCTGGGCTTCTCTCTGGGTCCCTGCCACTTTGGGTCCGAGCTCTCCATTTCCTGGCTAGCGTGGGGTGGGGGTTGCTAGTGTTGGAGACTACCCCTATTCCTCCCTGTTTGCCTCCTGAACAGAGTTTGTAAGGACTTGGCACACCTAGGAGTCTCCCTTTTCCTCTTTGGTCATCAGATGGAGAGGACACTGTGCTCTCAGCCGGTGGGCACTGGGAAGGAGGTCTCTTGAGTGCAGGTTCCCCTGGTCTTGGGATGGGGCGATTGCTGCTTAGTCCAGGAGTGTTGCTGTAAAAATGTCCCTCACTCTAGGCCAGCACAGGGTGATGTAGACAGAAAGGGGCTTCCTTCGCTCAGTTTTAGAAGCTGATCTATCTGACCGCTGGTGAGAACCTCAGGACACATGCTGTCATGGTGACGTGGGACCAGTTGTGTCAAGCCTGAGGAGACAGGACACGTGGAGGGTCACGGGTCTCTCTGTGTGGGAGTGTGTAGGCTCAGGCCTGAAGTCAGTCAGGGTCACAGCTCTGTGCCATGCAGTGCTGGTTCTGTTTGCACACATTGTCTCTAACCCTGCAGAGAGAAGTACTCGCTGGAACAGGACATCAGAGACAAGGAAGAGGCCATCAGACAGAAAAGCAGCGAAGTGCAGGTGGGCGCTGCACCTTGGCTTGCGGGTTTTTCTTTTCTCATTTTCCGAGACAGGGTTTCTTCGCATAGTCCTGGCTGTCCTGGAACTTTTTTGGTTTTTGAGACGGGGGTTTCTGGAACTCACTCTGTAGACCATGCTGGCCTCGAACTCACAGAGATCCGTCTGCCTCTGCCTCCCAAGTGCTGGGATTAAAGGTGTGGGCCACCTCCACCCAGCAGTTTGGGCCTGCTTTGTGCTGAGTGTAGGGACCGCACTAAGATTGCAAAATGTTTTTGTTCCCTTGGCAGCATTGGTGAGGGAACCTGGGTTTCGCTCATGCTTGATAGGCACTGAGCATAGAACCCTGGCCTCACCTGTGCTCAGGCGCCAGACAAGAAACCAGGGCCTCGTGCTCATTCTGAGCCAGCACAGGGATGGAGCACCGCCCCACACAGGCCCTGATGAGGGTCCTGAGCAGAGCTGCAGTCAGCCCAGAGTCTGCTTTTAATCTGTCCTTGTTCAGGGCCTGTTACCAGTGTCAGCCAACAGCACCCATTTCCCATAGGAGCTACAAAATGACCTGGACAGGGAAACCAGCAGTTTGCAGGAGCTCGAGGCTCAGAAGCAGGATGCCCAGGACCGCCTGGATGAGATGGACCAGCAGAAAGCCAAGTTGCGGGACATGCTGAGTGACGTGCGTCAGAAATGCCAGGATGAGACCCAGATGGTGAGTCCCACAGTGTGGAAGATGTCACCTTACAACTCTCGCTGACTGATGACGAAATGCCTGGAGTGGGATCAGAGATTATCAGCTGGGAAACTCCAGGCATTTGAGGGCTGACCTGTAAATGATCCTTCTGTCCTACAGCAAGGAACAGGGCTCCAGGTCCTTCTGCCTCTCCCACGCCTCCTCTCCCTCTTTTAGAAATGTTTATTCTGAACTTATTCATGTTTGTGAGAGATTACATGTGCGTGTGGGAGGTCATAGGATAGCCGTGCATCTCGGTCCTCTCCTTCCACCTGGTCTTCAGCTTCACACAGTGAGAAAGTTGAGTGTCTGTCTGTCTGTCTGTCTTTTTTTTTTTTTTTTTGGTTTTTAGAGACAGGGTTTCTCTGTACTGTTTTGGAGGCTGTCCTGGTACTCGCTCTGTAGACCAGGTTGGCCTCAAACTCACAGAGATCCTCCTGCCTCTGCCTCCCGAGTGCTGGGATTAAAGGCGTGGGCCACCAACGCCCGGCAAGTGTCTGTCTTTCTATGCCCTGACTTGGGAGTCTTTTGACTGTCACTTCAGATCTCATCATTGAAAACCCAGATTCAGTCTCAGGAGTCAGACTTGAAGTCCCAGGAAGACGACCTCAACCGGGCCAAGTCAGAGCTGAATCGGCTGCAGCAGGAGGAGACACAGCTTGAGCAGAGCATCCAAGCTGGGCGTGCCCAGCTGGAGACCATCCTCAAGTCCTTGAAGTCCACGCAGGATGAGATCAACCAGGTACTTTGACAGGGCTGGTGGCCAGCTGAAGCCAAGTCCCCCTGTGCTGCTACACTGTTCCTGTGGCTTTTTCTGTCGCTGTCTCTGTGCTGTGGGTCAGTGGAGCTGGGGAGATTAGCTGGGGAGGGCTCTGTGCAGTGAGGCTCGGGGTGCCTGGTGCCTGGCCCATGAGTGCTTGACCTCTCCTGAAAGTTCAGAGAAAGTTCTGACCCTGCCCTGTCCTGGATGTGCTGGTCATTGGACTTCATGGTGGTCTTTGGGATTCTGGCCACAGAGCAGGGTGGTACTGGGTCTTGGTACATAGGGAAAAAAAACCTGTATCCTCTAGACTAAAAGTGTCTGCTTGTCTGCAGGCTACAGGCTAGCAGGGCAGTGTGGGCACCTCCCTGTCTTAGTAGCTTCATGTATTGTATTTTATTTATTTAATTTAGAAACAATCTTATTTTAGATATCAATCCTAGTTCCTTCTCCCTCCCATCCTCCCATACTCCCCACCAGCCCCCCCCCCCATCGTAGCCCCCATCCATTCCCCAGGGAGAATGATGCCTTCCATGGGGAATCATCAAAGTCGGTCACATCCTTTGGGGAAGGGCCTAGGCCCTCCTCCATGTATCTGGGCTGAGAGAGCATCCCTCCATGGGGAATGGGCACTAGGGATAAATGCTGGTTCCACTGCCAGAGGCCCCATAGACTGCTCAGGCCTCCCAACTGACACCCACGTTCAGCGGGCTTGGTTCGGTCATTTGCTGGTCCCCCAGCTATCAGTCTGGAGTCAGTGAGCTCTATCTTGGTCAGCTCTGCTGTTTCTTGACCCCTTTGCTCATCCCTCTCCCTCTCTACAATTGTATTTTATGAACATTAATTCTGTGGGGTTATTTTCGGGCTTTTTCCTCCTGCCTTCAGAGTCTTACATGGAGATGGCCCAAGACACATGTAGAATTGCTGATAGAAGTAATGGTACTAGATAGGTCTCACTGTGTAGCCTCTACAGTCTGAAACTCACTATGAAAATCAGGCTGTCCTTGAACTCATAGACCTCAGCTGTCTCTTGAGTGCTGGAATTAAAGGTGTGTGTCACCATGGTCACCATCATTCCTTTCTTTTGTTTTGGGTTTTGTTTCAGTTTTTTGATTTTTGGGGTTTTTATTGTTGTTGTTGTTGTTATTCTTGAGACAGTCTCATCATGTAACTCAGGTCAGCCTTGAATTTGTGATCTATTCTCCTGCTCAGCCTTCACAAGGCTTCCTCTGGTTTCCTCTCCCCCTTCCTCTTGTCTTTCATTAGCAGATGCAAGTTTTATTTTGACATTCCCGTGTTTGCCTTCTCATCATTACCAATACTTCTTTTTAAATTAGAGGAGACAGAAACCACAAAAAACTGGGCATGGTGACGCACACCTTTAATCCCAGCTCCTGGATACAGAGGCAGGTGGTTTTCTGTAAGTTTGAAGCCACCCTGGTCTACAGAGTGAGTTTCAGGACAGCCAGAGCTATGTAGAGAGACCCTGACTCAAAACAAAAGTAGAGGAGCAGGTTGGGTCCAGGACCAGTTATGTGCATTGAGCTGTCACTGTTACATGTGTGACCCTCCCTTTCCATGAGTTCTTTGTCTGGGAGGGAGGGAAACAAGCATGCAGTGAAAACCCTGACAAGTAGCAGACTGTCAATCCAGATTTTGTCTAAGTGTAGTCGGTTGAGAATTGGCAAACCTTTCGGGGAGGAAGTACTCCTCTAGGGCCGGGATACAGAGCCCTGGAGCAGTAGGGGGGTTGGTTCTCATGGACCATTGCGTCCTCTAGTGTGTAGTCTGTGCAAGGCAGTCCTTGCCATGTGCATGATCCCCTGGGGAAGGCATCTCGCTGCCCACACCCTAAGCTCCCCTTGATGTCCATGGTGTTTGTCTTGCAGGCGAGAAGCAAGCTATCACAGCTGCAGGAGAGCCGCCTAGAAGCTCACCGGAGCCTGGAACAGTATGACCAGGTGCCTGATGGGGTCTCTGGCACCAACCTGCCTGACCTGGCCACCCTGAGCGAAGGCGTCTTGCTGGCAGAGAGGGGCGGCTTTGGAGCCATGGTAAAGGTCGAGTAAGCGTCTCCTGGTCCTCGTGGGCTCTGCTGCAGCTGCAGATCTGCACACAGCACTGACTCCCTCAGTGCTTGGCACCCCTTGTTTTTGATGGCAATCTGCACAGGGCCCAGGGTTGATGGCCGACTTCTTCCTGCTGTCTAGAAGCTGTGAGGCCCAAGTGTTCCATTTCCTCAGAAGTGTTTCTATTGAGCTAATCACTCAAATGTGGAGGGCAGATCTAACCAAAGCCAATGTGGTCCCGTGCTGTGGAAGCTCCATGCTCCATGGATGGCCACCCTGGGGGTGCACATGTGCCATTCAAGTCACGTGATTCTGACAGATGCGAAAACAGGCTGAGGTGTAGCTTGTAGTGAGCACTGCAGGTCCCAGGTTCCATCCTATGACCCCAAGAGCGTCACAGCACGTTGCCTTCTAGGTCCTGTGCAGTCAGCTGTCTGCAGGCCTGTCTGTGGCCCTTGCTGCTTGTGACCCAGCAGCCCAGGCAGGGTGGCCCCTCTGTCAGCCCCAGCGCAGGGGCGAGTCCTGGTCACTGGGCGCTCTGCTGCTTTTAACCACTGGCTGCCTCGTCTTTCAGGGCTCTCCTGCTGTGGCCCTGCTGCGTCTCCCTCTTGGTTCCTTCCCTCCTTTCTTGTGCTCTAAGCAGTTTCTTTGGCATCTAAGAACTCCCAGGGAAGATGGACTTGCCCTGGACGACTTAGAAGGTGCTGTCTCTAACCCTGCTGATCCCTCGTGCCTGCCACAGAGGTCCCCGTCACTCTTAGACACAGCCCATGACTTCCTGCCACCACAGGCTTCTCAGGCTTCACTGTTCCGTGGGGTTCCCGTGGCGTCCCACTCTGTGGCCTGTAGTTGGTGTGTGTCTCTGTCTTGTGGCCGCATTCTCCACTCCATCGCACAGCGCTCCCGTGCAGCTGCTTGTCCTGTGTCCTGGGCCAGGGAAATGCTTGCTCTGAGGCTCCCCTTGTAGACTGTTTGGTTTGTTTTTCTTTTCTCCTCTTTCTCTTTCCTTCTTTTTCTTTTCCTGCAGAGACAGGGTGTCACTGCAGCCCAGGCTGGCCTGGAACTCCAGAGCTTCCAGCTGTGGGCATTAAAGGTGTGTGCCGGGCTCTCCTGGGGCTTTTACTAGGCCTCACATCCTGGGCTGCGTTCTGGCAGAGGGTGACCTTTTGCAGGTGACTGGTCACTTCTCTTACCATCTGAGCCTTTTGTACTTGGTTGTTTTTGTCCATTCTTGACCTAGGTGGAGTTTGCAGGATAGACCATCACCTGTACAGTGTAACTATCGATATATTAGCTAGAAACTCAGGACTTGTGTCTGAAGGAACCTACATCTCCTTGTATGAATGCAGTTTTAAGATCATTTTCGGGGGTTGTTTCCATTTCTTAATAAACGCTTTGAAGCAAGGTCTTTGTTCAGTGTTCCATCTGGGGTCTGTCTGGAGCAGGGTGCTCTGTCAGCTCTCTTTGTTGGGTACAGCTATGGCTCTGCTAATGAAGAGCAGTGCACCCAGAGTGGCACATCTAGAACTTTCTACAGGTCATTCTTGAGCCACTGAGCTAAATGTTAAGATCCCCTGATGGAGATATAGGATTCTTAAGGCCATGTTCATTTCTGTGTGTATATCCTTAGTTACTTTTTTCTTTCACAGTGCTATAGGTGGAGCCCAGGGTCTCACACGTGTTAACACAGGCAGAGCCCAGGGTCACACACGTGTTAACACAGGCAGAGCCCAGGGTCACACACGTGTTAACACAGGCAGAGCCCAGGGTCACACACGTGTTAACACAGGCAGAGCCCAGGGTCTCACACATGTCAGCAAAGGCAGAGCCCAGGGTCACACACGTGTTAACACAGGCAGAGTCCAGGGTCACACACGTGTTAACACAGGCAGAGCCCAGGGTCACACACGTGTTAACACAGGCAGAGCCCAGGGTCTCACACATGTCAGCAAAGGCAGAGCCCAGGGTCAGACACGTGTTAACACAGGCAGAGTCCAGGGTCTTGTAGGTGTAGCAAGTGCTCACCACCAAGTCTTATGCCATTTCAAAGCCACGTTTATTTCTTGTGGCTGACGGAGCCTCTTCCTGGATACCCAGCCAGCCCACCCAGCAGAGGGAAAGCCATGCACCATCCTGTTCGTTACTCTGCTCATAAAGACAGATTGGATCTGTGGCCACTTCCAGCCCTGGTAACATACAGGAGCCAAGGTTATGGACTCCCAGCAAGGATTTGTGAGAGTTGCTTAGCTGGTAATCTGAGCTCAACTGAGGACAGGAATATTTATATCAGGACAATTAGCAGGAGCTCCAGCATTGGGCTCCCACACAGTATACTTTTCATTTTGTTTTGTTAATTGAGGCAGGGTCTCATGGTGTAGCCATGACTGGCCTGGAATTCACTATGAAGACCAGACTGGCCTTGGGCTCACAGAGATCTGTCTGCCTCTGCCTCCAAGTATGAAAGGGATACACCCCCACACCCATCTCCCAGCACTCTGTGAAAGGCAGGAGCGTCACAGAAACTTCTTGGATGTCCTCTGTGGCCATGTCCGTCCTCTGAATGCAGGCAGAGCTTAGGGCTAGCTGCTGCCTTGCCCTTAAAGGTGTTTTCTATAGCTGGGCACATGGCTCAGCAATGGGGGGTTGCCCAGTGTGTGTGAGACCCTGGGCCCCATCCTCCATGCTGCAGAAGCTAGAATTAAATGAAATTAGTTAATACGTTTTATTTCTACAGAGGTACTTATCACCTACCCTAATGTAGTTCAGTTACTACATGACTTACTGGTCTGGGAAAATGACATTGTAGAATTGTTCATCCACTTCTGTGCACATGGTGATAAACGGGTCCCACGTTTGGAAGTACCAGGGGCCTGTACGTGCCCTTGTATTCTGTCTCCCAGAGTGACACGCCCTTCATCCTCCATGCTGGTGCACTGTTCGCATTTGTGAGGGGAAAGCCCTCTTTCCAGCTCCATTTCTTCCTTGCCCTTAATGGGAGCCGGTGCTTGGCTGCAGTGCTGGGCTGCATACATGCTCAGTGAGTCTTTGCTGTTGAGCTGCACCCATCTCTTTTCTGGCCCCCTTTGAGGAGGGTGTCGCACCTGAGTGAGGCGGTGACTCCTCCCGACATCACCGCGCAGGCCCCACAGTCCCACCGGTGATGTGCGGATCTGGCAGTGCAGTTCCTGGCACGTTTGCCATGGAAACCCATCCACTCGTTGTTTTCCCTTCAGTGATTGAAAACGGCAGGGAGTCAGTGCCCAGCCCTGCCCCAAGGATGTAAGCCGCTTTCTGAGACCAAGCTCCTCCATCTCCCGTCCTTTGGCCCGCTCCTCACAGAGGCCAGGAGTACAAGAGTCTCTGCCCGGCCCAGGGCTTCCTTAGGTTATGACTTTCTGCAGTGTCTGTGTGTCCTTCCTTTGCCCATGGTGTGGCAGAGAGGTCTGTCTTGTGCCTCTACACGAGCTGCCTTTGGTCAGAGTCTCCCATCGCGTTTCTCTCGGGGCTGGCAGCACCCAGGTGTCCTCAGCAGATGCTGTGCCGGCTGCATCTGTGCTTAACCTCCCTGAGTGGAGGCCTGTGCCCAGACGGTCTGCAGAATTGGTCCCAGGTAAGAAGACAGCCCGCCACTCTGTCACCGGCAGTGACTACTGCTTACTACTTTTTTTCATTGGCTGTGAGGCCAGGCTGGTCAGGAACTCTTGTCCCCTGCCCCATTCCCACCTGGTGGCCCCTCTTAACTGGCCCCTTGGGGCAGCATTCTCCTATCCTAGGTGTAGGCAGTCTTATTAGAATGTGACCTTTCAGACTATTCGTGTCAGTTCTTCAAACCACTGTCTGCTTTCACAGACATCCCAGGTGTGGGTGACTTGGTCATGGGGGGTGACGGTCCCTCTGCCATCCACTGATCATGGCAGCTCACACAATTGATCGCAGCAGTTGGAGAGGCAGAGGCAGGCTGATTTGTGAGCTCGAGGCCAGTCAGGGCTGCACAGTGAGACTCTGCCTCCCCCAAAAAGAAGCATACCAGTTAAACAGGCCTGTTTTGTGAAGGATTGTCTCAAGCAGAACAGACCCCTGATTCCCAACCCAGCATTTTGCTTGTAGGGGCACTCAGCAGGCATTCCCACTATGGAAAAGCACTCTTCAAAAGTAAATGTTTTTTTCTGCTGATTTGAATGCTCTTGCCGGTTTCTAGAAATAAGCACCTTTTTATAAAAATGCAAAGTGCCCTGCATGCTTTAGCAGCTCCCGCTGCGTCGGTGTCACCCCAGGGCCCACTTCCTGCTTGGGCAGAAAGGGCCCACTCACTGATTGACAGAGGACTATTGGGGGTGGGAGTCAATGGCACTGGCCTACCGCTCCACTTTGTGCCCCGGTGAATGTGCTGACTCCAGGGCCACTTATGAATGGGATCACACAGCATCTATCTCTGACAATGACCTCTTCTTTCCACTTAGCTTCACACCCTAGGTCTCCTCTTTGTTATAATTATTTTATTTTATGTGCATTGATGCATCGCCTGCATGTATGTCTGTGTGAGGCTGTCAGATCTTGTAGTTACAGACAGTTGTGAGCTGCCATGTGGGTGCTGGGAATTGAACCCTGGAAGAGTAGTCGGTGCCCTTAACTGCTGAGCCATCTCTCCAGCCCTCTCAAGTCTCCTCTTTTTACAGCAGAATTCCTTCCTCAAGGCTGAATATTATCCCAGCATGTGCGTGCGTAGATTCTGTCTACTTGCTCACTCCCCTCAGTGACTGCTAGACTTGCTTTAGATTTATTGAAAAGCTGCAGAGTTTCCATGCGTGCCACACGGGTCTCCATTGCTACCTCCGCAGATAAACCAGTCCGGGTTGTTTTTAGCCAGAATCTCCGCTTGAATGGCTCCTCTTCACGTATTCTGTTCGGCTCACACTGCATCAAATACAGTGGATTTAGGTGTGGAATCCTGCCCTTAGATCAGAAGTAACTCAGCACCTGTCCTTTCTTCACAATCCTAGGACGATCCTTTCAAAAACAAAGCCTTACTGTTTAGCAACAACTCCCAAGACCTGCATCCAGACCCCTTCCAGGCGGAGGACCCCTTCAAGTCTGACCCGTTTAAAGGCGCCGACCCCTTCAAAGGTATACCCCCAGCCTGCGCCCCCACGAAAGGCCGGTGTTCCTTTTCTTTTTCAAATACTTTCTTGTGTGTATGGGTCTTTGCCTGCGTGTGTATGCATCACGTGTGGGCACAAGAGGGCGTCAGATCCTCCAGAGCTGGAGTTACAGACAGTTGTGAGCCGCCATATGGGTGCTGGGACTTGAACCTGAGTCCTCAACAGGAACAACTGATGCTCATAACTGCCAAGCCACCGCTCCAGCCTCCTAACTTTCAGGGTTTTTGTTTGTTTTTTGAGACAGGGTCTCTCTATGTAGCTCTGGCTGTCCTGGCACTCGCTCTGTAGGACAGGCTGGCCTCGAACTCACAGAGATCGTCCTGCCTCTGCCTCACCTGTGTTGTGATTAAAGGTGTGTGCCACCATATCTGGGGAGCTTTCAGATTTTGACTTTAGGTCTAGGGACCATATCCAGCAGCTTTGGTATTGTCATAGGACATGTCATGACTGGGACAACCACTGTGTCCCTATCCTCTTACTGAGCAAAGTAGGGAATGCAGGGATCCAGGGTAGAGGAAGAAAAGTGAGTTTTCAAAGATACAGTTCTTTCTATAGCCAGCCAAGCATCCAGGCCATCTCAAGTGTTTTCCTGCCTGGGGCTGTCACTTTTCACTCATGAACCTCCTGTGGCGGGCCAGGGTATAGAGGGACCACTTCTTTCCCTAAACCAGGCGGGGGCCTGCCTCCCACAGTCCTCCCTCCACTCACCTGACTGCCTCTCTCTGTGTTCCAGGTGACCCCTTCCAGAATGATCCCTTCACAGAGCAGCAGACGGCAGCCACAGGTAAAGGCTGGCTTCCTTGTGTCCCTGAGTTCGTTTGGGACAGGGTCACTTGTGCCATAGCTGCCTATATTGGGTATGTGTGGTAACTGTCACACATGGTGGGGTTTCCTGCCACTCACGCTAGGGGCAGTGCTGTTATAGCAAAAGAGAGCCATCATAAGTCATGTGTGCCTTTTCTTCCTGTGTTGGCATTGCCTAGTGTGCCTGAAAGCTCAGATTCCGTCCCCAGCCACAGAAACAGAAAAGATTGGAATATTTACATCCCCGCAGAGACCCCCGTCTGTCACAGTTGCCCCACCCAGTCCAGTGCCTGCCTGGTGCCCAGTGTGCTTCCTGGCCCTGGCATCACCCACACAGCTTTATTACAAAGCACAATGTACACACCACGCTCTCCTTTTGAAAACCTTTGTAAACTGGGATGGTGGCTCACACCTTTAATCCCAGAACTCAGTAACTCAGTAGGCAGAAGCAGGTGGAACTCTTGAGTTCAAAGCCAGCTACATAGCTGATCTACATAGCAAGGTCCTCCCGAGAAACTTTTATCCAACTGTTGTGTGTGTGTTGTGGGGGTCAAGGCACAGCTTGCAGGAGTCAGTCCTCTTCCTTCTGTCAGATGCGGCAGCAAATGCCCGGGGAAGCCTTTGGCAGGTACGGAGAGTGTGGAAAGTTGAAGGACAGTTCATCACTCTGGAAGGTTCTCACCTGTGGCCAGTGTCCCCATCCTGACCCCACGGCACTGACCACTCCCTCACCACACTTGCTGCGTCACCCTGAGCCCGCTTTCCCGCTGCCCACTCCTCCCATCTTCTGGTGTCTGCTCACCAGTTGTGCCTCTTTCTAGACCCATTTGGAGGAGACCCTTTCAAAGAAAGCGACCCATTCCACAGCTCCACCACTGATGACTTCTTTAAGAAACAGACAAAGAACGACCCATTTACCTCAGACCCCTTCACGAAGCACCCTTCCTTACCTCCGAAGGTAAGTGGTCTCGGTGTGGTGCCCACTCAAGCAGGTCTGACTTGACGTGTGTTGGGATGGGTCATGTTGCCCAGGAGCTAGGATCGCAAGCCCGGTCTCGTTCCTGGTGAGTGAGGTGGCTCCCAGCACTGCCATTGCCAAGTCCTTTCTTTTCTTTTCTTTGTAAGATTTATTTATTTATCACATATACAGTGTTCTGCCTACATGCCAGAAGAGGACACCAGATTGAATTGTAGATGGTTGTGAGCCACCACGTGGGTGCTGGGAATTGAACTCTGGAAGAGCAGCCGGTGCTCTTAGCCTCTGAGCCACCCCTCCAGCCCCCAAGTCCTTTCTTATGAGCCAGCGCACTACAGTGCCAAGTGGGCCGGGCGTCCCCTCCTGTCCCCTCCTGTGCTGTGGTCGTGTGCTCTTACCTCCACTCCGTCTCCCGCAGCGACAGCAAAATACTACTGAGTGCTGGGCGTGGTGGCTTGCTTGCTCTTCCCTTCATGAGACTTTCAGAGGATCTAATCTGTCCCTGCCAGACCTGACATCATGACACAAATGCAGAGTTCCACATCTGACCTCATGTGGTTGCGTGAATTTCCCTTCATGCTGTGTACAGCATATAAGAAGCAACAGAATTCTAGACCAGCCTGATCTTCATAGCAAGTAGTGAGACATTGTCAGACACCGTCTCCATCTCCCAATGTCCCCCCCAAAGCGGACAAACCACGGGATGGGTGGCAGTGCTGGGGTGGTGGCTCAGCAGTCAAGAACACACGTGTGCAAGCCTGAAGTGGGTGTGCAAGCCCAGCACCTGTGCAACAACACACGTGTGCAAGCCTGGAGTGGGTGTGCAAGCCCAGCACCTGTGAACCAAGCTGCCTATGCTCTTGCACAGCCTCCCTGAGCTGGGAGGAGACAGGAGGATGGCTGGGGCTTGCTGGTCAGCCCAGCTTCAGGTGCAGTGAGATAGATAGCCTGCCTCAGAGGAGGAAGGCAGAGGGTGATGAGATAGGAAGCCAGGTGCCTCTGGCCTTTGTCCCCACACACTCACCCCCACACACACGCAAACAGACCTCACACACGAGAAATGAGTTTCATGTTGAGACTGGCCCCATCCCCAGCATAGCTCAATGTACATGCACATTTCTACATACTCGAGAACCCAGTCCCTTTGCCCAGCATGTTGGAGAGTGAAACACAACCTGTAATTGCTTTTCTATTGGGATTTCTTTTAAAGGTTTTAACAAGTTTTTATTTTAGTTGGATAGGTGTTCTGCCTGCATGTCTTTCTGTATACCACATGAGTAGCTGGTGCCTATGGAGTCCAGAAGAGGGCATCAGATCCCTGCACCTTGAGATACAGGTGGTTGTGAACCACCATATGGGTGCTGGGAACCCAGCTCTGGCCCATTGGAAGGGCAGCCAGTGCTTGTAACCCTCAACCACTGCTCCAGCTCTGGACATAAATTTGTTTGTTTGTTTGTTTGTTTATGTGTGTATGTATTTATATATTTATTTTTAAATGTATGGGGCAGGTACTCTCTGTATAACCCTGGCTGGCCCAGAACTCAGAAATCTGCTTGTCTCCACTTCCACAGTGCTGGCAGCATTTGTCATTTCTGCTTTGATCCTTTATATATGAATCTCTCCTCTGTTTATCTTTTCCTTTTGAGGAGTAGTGTCTCTTGATAGTCCCGATTGGCTTCAAAGTTGCAGCAATTCTGGCTTGGGATAGCAGGCATGAATTTAAAAGAGTTAACATCTCTTTTCAATTCAGATATATATATATATATATATATATATATATATATATACACACATATATATATGTATATGTATATATATATATATTTTTTTTTTTGAGAGACAGGGTCTCTCTGTGTAGCTACCCTGGCTGTTCTGAAACTAGCTCTGTAGACCAGGCTCACCTTGAACTAAGAGATCTGTCTGCCTCTGCCTCTTGAGTACTGGGATTAGATGCTCATAGAATTGGCCAGGCATATGTCATTTGATTCTCTTCCCTGCATTGAAAGACAGACTTCTCTCCCTTTGAGCCCCACCCCTAACCCATCACTGGGGAATTATAGGCAGGAGCTCTACACCTGTCCCTTCTGCCAGCCCTTACCACTGTGTCTGTAGCTTTGGTTCACTCCTCAGGCCTGAGTTCACTGGGAATCTGTGGGGACTATAGCATTCATCGGTGTTGCCCTCTGCAGGGCATTTGTTGACGATTACCCTCCTCTGCCCAGGTTTGTCCCAGTGACTCCACCCCAAAGTGTGCTGTTGTGTCTGGCGTTTGAAATAGTTGGGAGAGTACAGCTGAGTGGATAGATGGCAGAATAACCTCTTCCTGTCTCTCTCCTCCCTCAGCTCGACCCATTTGAATCCAGTGATCCCTTCTCTTCCTCCAGCATCTCCTCGAAAGGATCAGGTGAGAGAGACCTGAGGCTTCTGCCCTCCTGGTCACATCACGCCTCCGTAATGCCATTAGTCCCCAGATTAGTGTGGCCTCAGGTGGAGCGTTAAGGTCCTTGCCTGAGACTGTGAGGCCTGTGTGGATGCTCGCCTCACAGGCCTGTCTGTCCCAGCAGGGGCTGGACGACTTTTTCAGACAGTCAGTCTGTTAACACCATTGTCCTTAATGCGAACAGTCCAGTTCCCCAAGCATGGTGACAGCCACCTCTGATCCCAGCACTGGGAAGCAGACCCAGGCATGGCAGTACATCACCTTTAATAATCCTACCACTCAGGAGTCAGAGGCAGGGGGATCTCTGTGAGTTCCAGACCAGCCTGGGCTACAGTGAGACTTTATCTTGTTGGGGACTCTCTCCCAGCTGGTGCCCCCCATAAACACACATAAACTGTAGTATGTGGGGCCATGCTCATGGCTCATTCTCTCCATGCCACCTGCTTCTCCTTCCTGAGCGGGTAGATGGCAGGCTCAGGCAAGAACCAGTCTCTCCTTTGAGCCCTGTGATCCATGCCTCACAGGAGCCATCTTCCCAGAGATGCTCACGGCCCTGAGTGTCCTGCTCCTGGACCCTAGGATTGCCCCTTGAGTCTGCTTAGGCCATAACCCCAGCTGTGTTGGTGCCTCTCGCAGATCCCTTTGGGACCCTGGACCCCTTTGGAAGCAGCTCCTTCAGCAGTGCCGAGGGCTTCGCTGACTTCAGCCAGATGTCAAAGGTAAGGTCCCTGCCAAGAAGTCCCAGCCACAGCCTGTGTCCACACGCCTCTCGTGTGGGAGCACGCACGCACAGCCTGTGTCCACACATGTGAGTGCTTGCACTCTTCAGACTTTTGAGTCCAGCCTTACACAGCAGCGCAGATAGGGTCCAGAAAATACCCTGACCTTGTGTATACTCGAAACTACCACAGCCCAGGTCCCTCCTGGTGCTGTCAGCTATGGCTCATCTTGCTCTCACGTCTGCTCAAACAAGGATCAGATGTCGGGGCACGAAGCAGCGCCCCTGTGGCCAAGAACACTCAAGGTCAGGGAGTGGCCTGAGGCAGCTCACTTGTCTGCCGAGGACTTAGGGAAGGAAGAGATAAGACACAGTGGACCCAGGCGCCTGGGGTGACAGGCCTCAGGCTTGTGTGTCTGCTGGGGGAGTGGACCACACAAATGCCTGCAGCCTCCAGGGACCAAACTCTTGAGGGTATTGAATGGTGAGGGCAAGCTCACACCAGAGGTGAATAAATATGCACATGAAGACAGCTTGCACTTCTCAAGGACAAAAGCCACAGCTCTGTCCTTCTGTCCTGAGCAGGGGTCTCCAGCTCTGGGGTGCACTGTGGCTAGTGTCACTCACTGAGCAGACATGTGGTTTGAGAGCCATGTCTTGAGTTATCAGTCAGCCTGAAGGCACAGCAGCTCAAGCCCAGAGGAATGCAGGTCTTTCTCTGGCACTTGGTAGGCTCTGGTAGGGGAATTGCTGTGATTGGAGGCTAGCCTGGGCTACACAGGGCCATAGTCTGAGAAGAAAGCAGCAAGGCTCATGCTTATGAAGAACTTGCTGACCTGGAGTTGTGGTCTTGGTGAGAGAGACTAAGTCACGGTGCATTTGTGTCAGCTGGTTTGGTGTATGTTGGTGTCATCTTTGGTAATAAGTAAAAACGTCAAGCCAGCTGTAGCAGCAAACCCTGGAGGCTGAGGCGGGAAGATGGCCAGCTCCAGCCCAGCCTGAACCGTACAGGGAAACCCTGCCTCCAAACAGTTAGGCACAGTAGCGCTTCAGGTGCTCTCAGCCACTGGCCTGTCCCGGCACCCTCTACTCTGTCCCTGTCCTCCCCTGGCAGGGCACCAGATCAGCCCTTGCAGTGGTGTGGTGCCTTGCAAGTGTTCCTCATGGGGCACCTGGGTGAGGCGTAGGGTGTTCTGAGGGTGCAGACATCTCTTGGCATCTACAGAGATGTATTGCATGGTACCCTGGGGATATCAAAACCCTGTGTGACATGACTCAGTACCTCAGACTGCACCTCTGGGCAGCTTCAAGGTCTTACAGGTTGTGAATGCTGTGTCTGTAGTCATTGTCGTCTGAAGGACAGCTGCCTTTGTGTACTCAGTGCAGATGCAGGGTTTTTCTAGCTTCAGTGTGAGGTTGGTTGAATCCTCAGGTGTGGAACTCCAGGAGATAGAGGCCAACCACATGTGGTAGCCAGCGCCCAGACATGGTGTCCCCAACCTCCCCCACCATGCCCTCTACACTGGTGTCCCAACTGCCCAGTAATTCTGAGGTGCCAAAGGCTGGCAGCAGTAGCAACATGCAGTGTGTCATGCTGCTTCCAAAAACCATTTGACATGCTGCAAGTTTCCAGCACAGTGACAGACCTACCCAGGAACACAAGGAGGCCTGGCTATTAGCAGGAGACCTGCGGTTGGCACGGGGAGCCCTGTGCATGCAGGTCCAGGGCAGTCATGAGCCCTGGGACCCCAGCTGCTGCAATCAGGACATGCTGGCCACATGGGGGCAGCAGCTTACAAGGGCTGGTGTTCCGTGCTGTCTCGGGTTATGGGCTCCTTCCTGAGCAGCCAGCTCTCTAGACTTGGAACCTGTTCCCTGCTTCTTGTCAGCCCCAGGAAGGCCTGAGCAAGCGTACAAGGTATCTGCAGCTGTAGGCTGCTGATGGCAAGGGACTTTTCTCTGCTGCACTGTGGCCCTGGCTGGTTGCCCGTGTTCACGTGATTAAGCTCAGAGTCACAGAACCTGAAAACTAACGGCGTGGAAGTAGGAGCAGGAGCAAAGGGGTTTGTGGGGAGTGGGAGGAAGGACAGGGCTACAGGAGTCCAGCACTCCTGTGAGAATGTCAGCGAGCTCTAAGGTCTCAGTGAGAGGCCGTGGCCATGAACATGCTAGGAACCAGGGCCTGGGCTGCTCTCCACTTCCAGTGCTGGGATTCGAGGCTAGAGTAGATGCTAGCTGCCACCCACCCCTATTTGGTTCTTCCCTGTCTCTCTGCCCAGCTGCCCTCCAGCTGCATAGGCCCCCTTCTGAGGAACCCTCAGATAAGCCTGTGTGTCCCCCCTACTCCCCTCCCCACAACTGGGATAGGAAAGCCAGGCCCACTTCCTGTTCTTGGCACCAGGCCAAGACACAGTTGGCTAGGTCTGTGGAAAATCCTGTCCCATACACTGTTTACACCATCCTGGGGCTCCTTAACTTCACAACACTTGTAAAGCCTGTGCCTGCCCCACCCCCGCCCCAGCCCCCACTGATTTTCCTCTCTGGTTACCTTGCTAGTTTTCAAGAACAACACCTGGTATAAATAAATCCGGAGGGAAATGAAAGTAGAGCGGCAAGTCTTCTTCTCTTAGCTTTCTTTTTTCTTTTTTTAACCATCCCCGCCAGTCCTTCAGCACCTGATGAGGGTGGGGCAGCAGTGTATGTCCTCCTCAGTGCTCGAGTTAGTGTCCTGCCTCTGCGCACCAGGGGAGGGGGCTCTGTCTTAGGGTGTCTGCTGCTGTGATGTAACTCCATGACCGAAAGCAGCTGGGGAGGAAAGGGCTTGTTTGGCTTACCCTTCCACAGTTCATCCCTGAAGGCCGTCAGGACAGGAGCTCCCCCAGGGCAGGAACCTGGAGGCAGGAGCCGAGCAGGGCTGGAGAGGGTGCTCTTACTGGTTTGCTCAGCTGCTTTCTTCCAGATCCCAGGACCACCAGCCCAGGGATGGAACCCCCACCAGGTGCGGGGCCCTGCCCCATTGATCACTAATTGGAAAATGACCCACAGGCTTGCCTACAGTCGGATCTTACGGAGACATGTCTCAACTTAGGCTCCTTCCTCTCTGATGACTCCAGCTCTTATGTCAGTTACATACAACTATCCAGTGCTTGTTCCCAGAGGAATACTGTAGACAGTTTGGAGGCTCAGTGATGTTTGCTTGCTTAAAAATGAGTTCCCTCGACTGCAGGTGTGGTCAGTGGCATGAGCCTGCAGAGAGCATGGTCAGGGCGCTGGTTCATCCCGGCCCTCAGCCGAAAAGGACACCAAAGCAAGTTCTAAAGTGCGTCCGTAGAGCGCTCCGGAATGTAAAGAAGTCTAACTTCTTTTGCCTTCTCTCTGCCCACACCCAGAAGAAAAGCCACCTGTAAAGGAGTGCAGCGGGTGCCAGCCCTTTTTCAGTGACTTCAACCTTGTCGTGGTTTTGTTGTCTTTCTTTCTTTTTTTGTTTGTTTGTTTTTTGTTTTGTTTTGTTTTGTTTTGTTTTGTTTTTCGAGACAGGGTTTCTCTGTGGCTTTGGAGGCTGTCCTGGAACTCGCTTGGTAGTCCAGGCTGGTCTGGAACTCACAGAGATCCGCCTGCCTCTGCCTCCCGAGTGCTGGGATTCTTTCTTTTTTTAAATCTTTGCAGTGGTGCTGATGGACACAGGTTCCCTGCAGTGTGCCAGGCAGGAGCTCCACCCTTGAGCCACGCCCCCAGTCCTTCTTGTCTGTTCCTCAAAACTGCCTTTCCGAAGGCCCGAGCAGGCTGCATTGAGCCGTTGTGCGGCAGCTGCAGGGTTAGCTCACACCTGCCTCCGAGTGCTCGCTGGTGGAAGCATACCTCTTCACCGGTTCCCAGGCCCTGCAGTATCCTTTCTAAAAATACAGCCTGCCCTGAGTCCCTGCCAGATCCCAAAGGAAACTTAGTGGGAAACCTAAAACCATCAAAACGAGGCCTAGAAGCTGGACCTGGTGTTACAGACCTTTAATCCCGGCACTTGGGAGGCAGAGGCAGGCGGATCTCTCAGTTTGAGACCAGCCTAGTATACAAGAGGTAGACCAGAGAAACCCTGCCTTGAAAAACTCAAAGAAAGAAGATAATAAAACTGGTACTGGGGAATCACCTGGTCGTTGTGGCACTGGATAGGATGGAAGGCTGTGAGGAAACTAACACAGTTAACCCAGGCAGAGGCGACCTGTGTATCTGAGGCATTGCAGCTAGCCAGAGGGTCAGACGCATTGTGTCACCAGCTGTCATGAGCTTCAGGTTGTGTGGGTCAGAAAGTAGAACTGCTCAGGCCCTCATCCTCTTACCTGTGACTCAGGGCTTCCTAAGTGAGAAGACCTGTCCCTGGAGGCAGCTCATACCCAGGGGGCACCCTAAAACCAGGACTGCGTCACACAGGTCCCAGTGATCACACCTTCAGCTAACAGAGGCTTTTCTTTGGAGAAGGGTGGCACGTGTGTCATGGCACCCATGTGGAACTTGAGGGTAACCTTGATTGATTGCTACAGTTAGTATTTTCTTTTCCACCATTTGAACCTGAGGATCAAACTCAAGTCACCAGACTTGCTTGCAAGTACATTGAACCTCTCACTAGCATCAAGAGATACCAAGTAGCAAATACCTCTCTGTTCCCCTTTGGCTTGTCTGGAGGCTGGAGAAATGTGCATATAAGGGCAGCCTTGGGTGTATGGTAAGGCCATATCTCAAAACAATAACCACCTGCCTGTAGACAGATAGCAGGAGGAGTTGAGGTCTGCAGACACAGGCTCCAGAAACAGATGGTCCCCTGCCCCTGAGCCACCTCATCCTCTTGGCCCGTGGAGAGCCATCTTGGGAGCCCTCCCCAGCGGCTGCCTGAGCCCTGTGCTCCCTGTCCCCCCCGCATCTGCACGTCTTACACAGTACGTTGGTAAACAAGCACAACTGGCAAATGAACATTTATGGTATGCTGCAATGAAAGTTACTTGAGATTCTGGAATTGTTTTTCTGGAACTTTCCCTCACCATGTTCTCAGTGTGATGGTGTGACAAGGTGGGGGCCGTGGTATTCATTGTGGCATCTCTGCCACTCCTGACAATGAGACCTGCCATCTCTGTCACTTCACAGATGGTGTCCTTAATCACTCTTGAGTCTCACTGAACCTGCAACCTGCAGTTTTCGCCTAGACCAGCCAACAATTCCTCTTGTCTCTGCTCTTCCTAGCTCTAGGTTACAGAAACACAGATGCTGCCGCATTTGGCTTTTCCCTGGAGGTGCTAGGGAGCTCGCGTACTTGACCCATTGGCTGTCTCCAGCCCCAGAACCCTGTTTTCCTTTGGAAGAACTACCTTCTCCGTGTGTCCCCTCCTGGCTCTGTTTCTCCCCTGAAGCCATGTGTGTCTCCTTCAGCCTGATGACCAGTAGTTCCCAGAGTGTGGCCCTGTGCCTGCCCTTCCGGCAGTGCTATGGAATCCAGGCCTTGGTAGTGAACAGGCTCTGCTAGCCCTGGGTCAGCACTGACCCACGGTGGAGTCTGGGCAGTCACATTGACTTCCTGTGCCTCGGTGTGCTTGTGTGTGTGTGAGGCAGGGGTGACGGCAGCAGGGTTCTCTCACAAGCCCCCGGGAAGAGGCGAGCGTAGAGCTGCCGTCTCCTGAGGGGCCTGGGGAAGGCCTGTCGGCTCGGGTGCCAGAGCGCTCCAGTCCCTGTCACGCCTCTGCTGTAGCCAAGGACTTGAGTGGCTAACGCTGGCTCTTGTCTGTGACGAGATGAGCCCCACACCCTCCCCAGCAGTTTGATGGGTGGATAGCTTGAGCGCTGCCTTCTGTCTTGGGTGCTCGGGCTCCGTCCTTGGCCTGTCCTGTGGGAGGAAGTACAAAGCACCAGCCTCCGCTCACTCTCTGGGCTCCTTTGAGGAGTTTCGTGTAATTTTCTCCTCACTTCTGCCAGTGGCGTAGACGCACTGTGGTGGCAGCCATGCCATCATACCAGATTCACTGTTTTATATGTTGGGTAAAATGTGTTCTTGTCTACTTTAGTAAACATTTTGCTCTTTTTGAGAAGGGGTCTGTACTATTGCTGTGATAAACCATCACCAAAAAGCAATCTAGGGAGGAAAGAGTTTATTTGGTTTATATTTCCACGGTACTGTCCATCATTGGGCAGGAACCTGGAGGCAGGAGCTGATGCAGAGGCCATGGAGGGTGCTGCTTACTGACTTGCTCCTCATGGCTTGTTCAGCTGCTGTCTTACAGAACACAGGACTGCTAGTCCAGGGTTGGCACCACCCACAATGGGCTGGGTCCTCCCCCATTGGTCACTAATTAGGAAAATGCCATACATTTTTGCCTACAACCTGATTGTATTGGTGCTTTTTCTTTTTTATTCCAAGACAAGGTCTCTGTGTATATGGTGTTTTGCTTGTGTGAATGTCTATGCAACCTGCTCTGCTTGGTGCACTAGGAGGCCAAGAGAAGGAGTACACTCCTGGGCTGCAGTTACAGATGGTTCTGGAGCACCATGTGGGTCTGGGAACCAAACCTAGGACCTCACAAGAGCAGCCAGTGCTCTTCATTGCCCATTGCCCAAGCATTTCACTTGAATTTTTTTTACTGTATTTTATTTGTATGAGTGTATCAAGTGCCCCAAGGTGCACATGTAATTGCAGGAGTTTCTACTTTCCAACATGCAGGTCCAGGGATCAAACTCAGGTTATCAGGCTTGACGGCAGTCCTCTTGCCATGCCCATTTCACTTCCTGTTTGCCTGCTCTCCACCAGGTGAAGTAGTACCTGCCTATCCTCCAAGCATCCAAAGGACTGAGGCAGGAGGATCAGGAAACCCAGGACCACTCAACAGAAGAAACCAGTGTTTCTTACCCCCCTCTCCACACACACACAGTGATTTTTCTCCCACACGGGAGGCCGCAGCTCTTTCCTGTGAGCATGTCAGATGATTTGGCACTGTGGTTTGTCCCCCTGTCTGTCAGGCGTGTCTCCCCATAGGTAAGAGGCACTGTATCCCTGTGATGCTGACACACAGGCACCTGCCAGCTCTAAGCGCTGCCCTGAATCAGGAAGGATGCCATGAGTAGTGGGAGCCCTGTACCAGCATGGAGGCCCAGGCCCACCACTGAAACAATGCCAAGATGGAGTGATGGTTGACAGGCAGGGCTTGGACCTGAGTGGGGTCCAGCTGTTTGAACTTCCTCTGGGGTCTCTAGGACTTGACTGCGTCCCCAGGGGGACTCAGAGCTCCATGGGCCATCATACCTAGCCTTGTTTGTTTGTTTTGTTGAGAGGGGCTCAGGCATGAGGCCCAAGACCTGTATACCTTAACGAGTGCGTAGAGTGTGTTTGATATATCAGCTCCATGGTGCTGTCTTTTGCTTACCCCCCAGCTGCCCTTTCCACCTGTATGCCACAGCCTTCTACCCTCACCCACCTCTCCTCCCCTTCCCCCTCTCTTTACCTATCCATCCATACTTCCTTCAGCCACCAGACTATCCACTACCAGTCCACCATTGGTCTATCTGCTGTCCATCCACTCATTATTCCACCAGACTATCCACTGCCAGTCCACCATGTGTCTATCTGCTGTCCATCCACTCATTATTCCACCAGACTATCCACTGCCAGTCCACCATGTGTCTATCTGCTGTCCATCCACTCATTATTCCACCAGACTATCCACTACCAGTCCACCATGTGTCTATCTGCTGTCCATCCACTCATTATTCCACCAGACTATCCACTGCCAGTCCACCATGTGTCTATCTGCTGTCCATCCACTCATTATTCCACCAGACTATCCACTACCAGTCCACCATGTGTCTATCTGCTGTCCATCCACTCATTATTCCATCCATCTGTTCTAGGTTTTTCGTGTTGCTGTAATTAAATATCCAGGCAAAGGGGACTTTAAGTGGGGGTGGGGGCAGATTAGTCCATCACTGTGTGGAGCTAGATGCAGCCAATCATAGCCACGGTCAAGAGCAGGGCATAAATGCCTGCATGTTTGTGCTTAGATCTTTCTGTCTCTGCTTATAGAGTCCAGGATTACCTGCCTAGGGAATGGTGCCACCAACGGTGGGCAGATCCTCCCACCTCAGTCCATGTAACCAAGACAGTTCCTTCTCCCATGCCTACAGGCCAGCCTTTGAGCACTCGTTGTGAGGCTGTGAACCATTGTGCCATCCATCCGTCTACACTCCATTGTCTACACACCCATCCGTCTACACTCCATCCGTCTACACTCCATTGTCTACACTCCATCCGTCTACACACCCATCCGTCTACACTCCATCCGTCTACACTCCATCCGTCTACACTCCCCATCTACACTCCATCCGTCTACACTCTCCATCTACACTCTCCGTCTACACTCCATCCGTCTACACTCTCCATCTACACTCCATCCGTCTACACTCTCCATCTACACTCCATCCGTCTACACTCCATCCGTCTACACTCTCCATCTACACTCCATCCGTCTACACTCCATCCGTCTACACTCTCCATCTACACTCCATCCGTCTAACATCCGTCTACACTCTCCATCTACACTCCATCCGTCTACACTCCATCCGTCTACACTCTCCATCTACACTCCATCCGTCTACACTCCATCCGTCTACACTCTCCATCTACACTCCATCCGTCTACACTCTCCATCTACACTCCATCCGTCTACACTCTCCATCTACACTCCATCCGTCTACACTCTCCATCTACACTCTCCATCTACACTCCATCCGTCTACACTCTCCATCTACACTCCATCCGTCTAACATCCGTCTACACTCTCCATCTACACTCCATCCGTCTACACTCCATCCGTCTACACTCTCCATCTACACTCTCCATCCGTCTACACTCCATCCATCTACACTCTCCATCTACACTCCATCCGTCTACACTCTCCATCTACACTCCATCCGTCTACACTCCATCCGTCTACACTCTCCATCTACACTCCATCCGTCTACACTCCATCCGTCTACACTCTCCATCTACACTCCATCCGTCTACACTCCATCCGTCTACACTCCATCCATCCACTGGCCTATTTACCCACATCAGTCTATCCATTCATCCATGCACTATCACGTGGGAATCAAAGAACACTCCCGCTGCAGTCCACCCTCCCACAGGTTTATCAGTTAATCCACATAGCCATGAACCTACCCGTCTATCTACCCATTCACCCATAGTCTACCCTCCCCGTCCACCCACGTGTCTGTCCATCCGTCCATCCTTGCCCACATTCCTCTGTATACTCCCCCATCTATTTATAGCTGTCTTATTTCAAACAAGGGAATTGGGACTGGTTTAGCTGAGACTTGAACACTGGATGGGGAAACAAGCTGAAGTGGAGGAGCTACCAAGACTGGGTAGAGTTGAGGGAGGTAGTGTGACTGTGCCAGCAGATGGGGGAGGGGCAGGCATCTGGGGCCTACAGAGGGTCCGTCCCAACTGTCAGCCAGCAGAGGCTGAGGCCATTGCATCTCTGAACATGAACAAAAGTCCCAGAGACCCATGTGTAGTGTTAAGTCGGGAAAGACCCATAACGGAGCAAGAGAGGCCATTGGGGGATAGGGTTACTCTCTGCTGCTTGTATTGGTGGCTTCCCTTTCACATAGAGGGCCTGGCTTTTAAGGGTGGAGGAAAGCGGGGGCTTGAGAGGACCCCGGTCTTGCCAGGGCTCTTGGTGCGGGAGCATTTGCCCAGTGCCTTCTTTTTAATGTCTATTTTTGCCTCTTTCGTGTCCTCTCTTACAGCCCCCACCTTCTGGCCCCTTCTCCTCCTCCTTGGGAGGCACAGGATTCTCAGATGACCCCTTTAAAAGTAAACAGGACACTCCCGCTCTGCCTCCGAAGAAGCCCGCTCCTCCACGGCCCAAACCGCCCAGCGGTCAGTACGCTTCCTCCTCTCGCGGCACCCGCCGGTGGGGACAGGGCGGCGGGCACAGGGCCCCTCCGTTGAGCAGCCCAGAGTAGAGTATCCCCTCTGCCTGTTGCCCCTCTCAGAGTGTGCTGTGTGTACTGTGCTGCTTCCCTGTCCCGAGGCCCAGGCCATGATAGTGTCCCCAAGGGTCCCCACCATAGGCTGCGTCAGTGTCCCTCCATCTGCGCCATCCCTCAGCATCCAACAGCCTCTGGCCTCATGCCCTTCTCACTCACCGTGACTCAGGGAGGGCCTGGGGTGGCTGCAGCAGGGGCTCAGGGAACCCCTTGTCCCTGAATGTTGGCTGTGTTGATAGCAGGATAGCTGTGCTGTCTCTTACCTTGCTTGCCCAGCTGATCAGGAGAAAGCTGCCAGAGGCACTTCCTGGCCTCTTTCCTTTAAGCTCACTGTCCTGAACCCTGCTCTCCAGAGACGACCTCTGTGCCCTCCCCCAGCAGACTCTGGGTCCTTGTGATTCCCGTGTGGAAGCTGGGGACAGAGCTCAGTGGCCCAGCAGTGGAGCAGTGCTTTGCATGCCTGAAGCCCTGGCTTCAGCATCCAAAGAGGAAACATTTCTGAGTTACTCATGCAGTGCCTCCTTTCCAGTTCTTAGTAAGAGCAGGTGGCCCAGGGCCACAGCTGTCCCTGCAGCCTCCTGTCCATCTCACTCTGCTGCCCAGGCTGTCCCTGACGCAGGACACCTACACACACTCAGCCACACATACCTGTTACCAGGACACAGCAGCCTTTCCCGAGAGGTGACAAAGTCACACACAGCCAATGTGTGCCTCTGTAAACCTACCTGTGACTGTCTGAGGGTTAGCTCACTCATCTCTGTATCGCCACTTCCTACACAGCCCACCTGCAGAAGGTAGACAGAGACAGGGCCATCCTGAAGACACTGCCCTCCCTCCCGTTACCAGTATCCCTCAGGGACAGTGCCCAGGCCAGCAGACTGTCTGATGAGAGCAGGTGTCTGTGAAGAGGTGGCGGTCTGCAGGGCACCTGTGGGGACACTGACCTGAGGTGCAGGGGAGCCCTTCCGCCGTGAGCGACGCCCCGCACTCCCTCAGCTCAGCAGCCTCGTGTCCACGTCCACACACGTGCACACCCAACACACCCAACACACACGCCCTCGTTCACAGGTGCGCGTGTGTGTGCTCACGCACTCTGCTGTCATATGTGTCCACACGCATCTCATCACTCAAGGCACGCACACACTTTAAAAGCAAAGGCTAACCGTGTGCATGTTTTGCATATGTGCTCATGGTGCCGAGTGCTGAGTGTCACGTGAGCGTGCGTTCCCCAGTGTGCCACACTCCTGTGTCAGGTGTGCCGCAGGCATCTACTTACACACTTGAAAGCACGCTTACCTGCTCACTCGTCCTGTGTCCACAGACGTGCTGTCATGGAGACGCGAGCAGTACTGACACCATCCCACATGGCCTCCCTGTCCTGTGTGTCCTCCCTTGTGCTGGATTTAGAGAGCAGGGGCGGCCTGTGACATGCTGAGTGTGCTCAGTGGCCCCTACTCCCTGCCATGAGAGTTGAGTCTTCTTGAGAGTCGGTCCAGGATGGGACCCCAGGACCCTTAGCCGTCCCTGTTTGGGCTCTGAACCTGGCACCTTTTCAGTGATGCAGACCTGGGCTCTGTCACAGCCTTGTGCCTTGGCGTGCCTATGGGCTCTTGCCATCTGACCTCGGGAGACCTGGTGCAACCCTTATCTCTCCTGCTGCTAGTGAGGCCATGCGACAGACGGGGCAGGAACACGAGGCCTGCTCACCACAGAGGAAGGGGGACGAGCGGGCATGGGGCCACCCGGAGTCACTGGAAAGATGGCACCTGCACTTGTCCCCGCCTCCCCAGCACTGTCTCTTGCTACTGGCCATTTGCTCTTACATCAACAATCAGGAGAACCCAGCCAGGGGGTCCCAGCGTCCTGAGAATTGGGGCTCTGTCTTGCACTGTAACCCATGAACAGCTGCAGAGCGCCTTTGGGGTCCTAAGCATTTTTCATTTCATTCTACCCAGAAGCAGCAGCTGGACAGAAGGGCGCGGCTGTGTACACACTGCTGGGTGGTAGGTACATGTGTGTGGCTTGCATGTGAGCCCAGTATCCCATGCTGTGGTGTCAATCTCATGCTAGCTTCTAACCATGCAGGCACAGCCTGGTACCCATGCACAGCTCAGAACCCTCCCTGCCTTGGCTCATCTGTCAATTAGCCCTGTTTGATGGGAAAGCGTTTGGCATCAAGTCTCTGGTTCATGCATGGATTTGGAGCCCAACCATGCACTTCCTCTTCCTGTATCCCATCCATACCACACATGCCACAGATGCTTGCACAGGTGGATGGGGCAACAGTCCAGGCTGAGCAGCTTTTGACCACTTACCAAGGGGACACAGTCAAGCTGCAGTAAGACCTGTGTCTTACTTATGTCTGAGACAGGGTCTCTGTGATGACCTGGGACTCAGTCCTCCTGGCCGTCATGCCCTGTTTTTGTCTGGTGCTTTTCTGCCCACCCTTTTCCCATTGAGGAAAGTGAAATGAGCAGTGTAAAGTGATGGCCACCTTCAGCTGCTCACACTCCATCACTCAGACCCTTGGGTATCAGACATGGAGTCCTGCAGTGGGAGGGCTGGTCTAGGAGGGGATGGAGGAGGTGGGGTGCCCTGCTCCCAAGGGCCTGGCAGAGAAAGCATGGCAGCAGTGGTGCCTTTGTCTGACTCGGGCAGGAATCATGAGCGACAGTGACTCCTCATTCCGACTGCCCTGTGTGTGAGATAGGCCACCACCTCTCTGCCTGGGCTTTTGTGGGACATGGACTGAAACACTGCTGTCCACCCCCAGTTGCCCTCCTAGCCATCCCCAGGTAAAGGGCCCGAGCACAGGTATTGAACTTAAAGCCAGGAGTGGGTCCCCTGAGTGTCATCACTCAGGATGTGCCAGTTTGGGTCTGGGTGGCCGTAGTTGCAGGCTTCCTTCTTCCAGCTCCTCGTCCCCTGGGGTCTGCCTCCTCTCCTCCCCCCCTCCTCACCCCAATGCTGAGGATACAGTTTTTTCCTTGAAGCCACAGAATATGTGTGTTAGGCTGCTGGGGTGTGCACAGAAGTTGGGTGTTTTGAAGGTGCTACATTCTTGTGCCTGGAGATCTTTTCTAGAAAGGTCTATCAAGGTATTGAATAACCTGCAGGTGTTTGTCTGAGCCTGAGGCAACTGACTGCTTTCAGACACATGCAAAACAGCCCTGAAAACTGCCAGTTGGAGTAAGTACGTACCTCCCCCAGGTAAACAGTGGTGTATTTTCTGCAACGGACGGAGATGGAGATCAGTCACAACTCACCGCTGAAGTTTCTAGGTAAAAGTTGTTGATTTGCAAAGAGAGAAACAGATTTTTTTTTAAGTGCAGGAAATGGCTGTGTGGGCGTCAGTGATTGGGCTGCCTGAGATAGCGGGATCCTGGCGGGCCCCACCCTGCCACTTCCTGCCAGCGCTGCCCCAGAGACACCCCTCACCAGCCAGTCACCTTTAACCTCTCCCCAAGTTAACGATCATCTTTATTACTGCTCATGACCTCCGTGCCACCCTGCAAGGTCAGGCGCCTAAGGAAAGGCGCTAAGGTCTTGCCAGCTTTTTGCTCTTTCCCACAATGCCACCTACAGTGCACTTATTTTAGTGAGCAGCCCTCATCCGAGCCGCATGAGAATGGTCTGGCCCGCTGTGAGATTGGATGTCCCTTCCAAGGCAGACGACGCGTCCTCTCCACCCATGTGAGATCTAGGCACAGTGGCCTGAGTTCCTGTAGGTCACTGTGGTCTGCGGAATACAGGCACAGGGAATGTTCTAGGGCTGTAAGCAGTCCACTGCAGTGTGTTCTCAACCCTCCTGTGAGGTCCCAGGCCAAGGACAGAACCTGTGTATCTGGACCCTGGTATTGGCCATGCTGTGCCCAAGCCTTTCGTTGCTGTGTATTGGCAAATGGCATCGCCATCTGAGCCTGTGGTTAGCACCTCTGCCCTGAATGTAACTAGTTTAATTCCGTTCCCACGATGGTGGCAAAGAGATAATGCAGTGGGTACACTGGAGAGTTTAGAATTGGGCACACTTGTTTCATTTCAGGAAGATTCTGGCATTTGCTAGCCAGCCAGGATGAGAAGAAGGCTCCCAACTAGCCCGAGACACCTAAACTGGTGGGGCACCAACACCCCATCTTGCCCTCACTCAAGGCAGCCCTCAGGGTCTGTCCCAGAGCCTGGTGTAACCAGCCTACTGCAGATGCTGGCTGAGGAGGTGCCCATGTGCTGCAAGGGAGTCCATGCTTCTCCAGCCGGTCTCAGTGACATGGCAGCTCCCGTTCTGCAGAGTTAGCAGAGCAGTTTGAAAATAGGCTTGTCCACTTCGGCACTCTCACCCATCTGCACCCAGCAGGGCGGATCCGGTAGGTGTCCTTGTAACCTGTATGCAGTAACATGTAAATGCCCCCCAGGGGTGCCTCCCCATCCAGACAGTGGGGGTCCTGAAAAGCCTGCAGGATGTCAGCCTAGAGAAGTAGTCTTCCTTTCTGCCTGCATCTGTGGCTGTGAGTGGGCAGGAACAACTAACTTCCCAGCCCTCACAGCTCACTAAAGGACTCAGGGAGGACTCCAGGTACAGCTTCCCCAGCCCTCTGGCGGGGTCATTGTGGTCACTCACAGCTTGTCAGAAAGCTAAGTAAGGACCCTCCCCCAAGCTCTCCCTGGGCCCTTCCATGGGTTCTGTGACCCTTTCCACCACAGGGCATTCGCTCCCACTGCAGACGGACAGCACAGTCTGTGATGACTTTGTTAAATGTGCGTATGCCTCTCCCTGCTGTTCTGGCTGTGTTGGCCCTTGTAGGAAAGAACAAAGAAGGCCTTGGCAGCCCCCCGTGGATGTGCAGAGGGAGCACTTAGGGCTCCCCACGGTCTGGCTTCTCTGCAGATAGCATCTCCCTGCACGCCCACTGGAACCGAAGGGTCGTGTCAAAGACACTGAAAGAGCCAATGCCTTTTCCGAGTGCGGGGGGCGGGGGGGGGGGGCTGGCAGTCTGTACAGCGAGAACTGACAGGTGTCAGGCATGGTGGCGTGTGCTTATGCACATGGGGGCACGAGGTCCCACTGGGGCTGCAGAGTGAAACCCTGCCTCAGAAACACCAAAAACAAATGACGGAACACAGGGCAGGTGGTGTGTAGCAATTGGTATCAGCCAGCCCCAGCCTGTTTTCTTCTGTAGGCTAATGCTACCCCCTTCACAACCCTCGGGCTGTTAGAGATCAGCCTTTGAGAAAACAACAGAAAATTGTCTATCTCACTATAAATCCACTTGTCGTTTGTGAACCCAAAGCAGGCGGCCACCCTTTCCGTGGTGGAGTGAGTGACACCATGTCCAGCCGTCCTGCCAGCCCAGTCATTCCCATGACCCCTGCCCGCTGCACAGCAGACAAAAACAGCCCAAGCACAGGTGGGGATGACAAATATTTGTTCAGCTTTTCTGCTCTGCTCAGACCCAGACCTCATCCTGTCCCTCCAATGCGCCAAGCAAGTCTTCTCAAAATTTGGTAAATATTTTTGGTGGGAAATGTCGGCACCATGCTGTGATCCGGGACCTCAGATTTTATCTCCTGGGTTACACTGCTGTGCTGTGCTATGCTGTGATCTGCCTGTGTGCAGGACTCCTGCCTGCAAGCCCGAAATGGCCCGGGCACCAAGGCTGCCAGAGCGAGTCAGGAGGAAAACGGAGGTGCAAGCAGAAGATCCTTTCATGACAGTTGAAAGTTTGAGTCAGGCGATCTGATTTCTCTCTCCTCTGTCCCCACTTAGTCTTTGGTTTGCTGGTAAGCTGGGGCAGAGAGGGATGAGGTCCCTGGTGATGTTTGGTGTCCCTGCCTGGTGTAATGTCCCTCACTAATTCCCATCAAAAGGGCTCGAGGAAGCCTGGCAGTGGGAACGACCAGTGCTGCGTAGGATACAGGGCTGGTGGTGTGGTGCCGTGTTGGGTGCACAGTAGTGTGGGAGCTCCTGGGGTGCACAGGGTGATGACGGGTGGGGCAGCTGCCCTGACCACAAACCTTTAGTCTTTGTTTTCTAGTTGTCTTTTTTAAGGGGTGTTTTTCCTGTATTTATCTCTCATCTGCAGAACTGCGTTTTCTAAGTACAGCAATGAATTGTGTCAACAGAACTTAAGAGTTTGGCAGAGGCAAGCGCATGCTGTCTCTTGGTTGCGCCCCCCCCCCTTTTTTTTTTACAGAAGGAATTGTCACCCTGTAGCCCAGGCTGGCTTGCCTGGAACTCATGTTCCCCCTGCCTCACAACCTTCAGAGTGCTGAGGTTAGAGGTGTACATCATTCCATGTGTGTGTGCTGGTGAGAGTCAGGGCATCCCACATGCCAGGCAACTGGAGTGTGCTGACCCTGGGTGGGGCCTGGTGTTTGATCTCTCCTAACTCAATTTTCTAGGAACTCTACGCCCCAGACCTCTGACTGTCTCCCTGTACCGGCTCCTTGAATTGAGAGTCAGCCCTCATGGAGCTGGTTATTGACATCTTGGGAATGGCTCGAGGGGTCCCTGAAAAGCGAGCTGAGAAAGGCAAAGGTGGTTCTCTTGTCTCTGTGTGCTGGGAGACACACAGCCTGGAAAATTAAACTCTTACCAGGGTGGGGCTGGCCACTAAGTAACTTTTTTTTTTTTTTAGCAGAGTGTGCTGTGGTAAACCATGGAGTTCGTGTTGTTTTTGCCGAAGTCAGTGCTGTGTGTGGTTTCGGTACACCGCTCGGGCGGCTGTTGAAACTGCTGTGGTTTCCACATAAGGCCTACTGTGCCTCTTCAGTCCCCTCAGCTAGTGCAGCGGGCCGGGGGGTACGGGCCAGGGGTGCCATGCCTGCTGTGGCATCAAACTCAGAGATCCCCCTACCTGAGTATTCCAATCACAGGTGTGTGCCACCGTACCTGACCAAACAATTCTCATTGTTGTTGCTATTAATGATGCTTAGGGACTTCATTTATTTCTTTTGTTGATTTGTTTACTGTGTTTATTTGCTGTTTGTACACATTGGTCAGTGGCACTCAGGGCAGAGGGCAGCCGTCTGGTCAGTTCTTCCATCATGTGAGTTTAGGGATTGAACTCAGATAATCAGACTTGGGAACAAGCAGCTTTGTCTGCTGAGCCACCCAGCCCCTTTTGAGTTGAGATATGGCCTCATTGTGTAGCACACACTGCCCTCGGGCTCCGGATTCCAGCCTCAGTCCTCAGTTTATCCTGATCCCTTTGCCATAGCCGTCTCTCCATACTCAGGTTCCAAGAACCAAAAGCACTGTGACCTTGCTTCCTACTGCTGGGGCAGACAGTGACTTTGTCACACTCAGGAGCAGCTCCACCTCAGAAAAGAGGGAAAGCGAATAAGGAGTTAGCAGAAGTGGTTACATAAAAGCAGGAACTAGACCCAGCCTTGAAACAATAGAGTCACCAAAAATAAATCAGAGTGCCAAGTAGGAAGCCATGGCCAGGGGCTTCCATCATTGCTCAAGACCTGGGCACAATCCAGGGCCATGCCAGCTTACAAGTGGCAGGGGCCTGCATGCCAGCACCCGAGAGAAAACCGTTTCCCTCCTCTGAAAATGAAGACAGCAGTTGCTGCTGGCGGGTTTCATGAGTGCAGTCGCGATTTCTAAATAACGGTTTCGGCTGCAGTGAGTCTTGATGTGAAAGGCTCTTTTCATCTCCGATTGCCTCTCTGCTCTCAGAAACCTCCGTCTCACTTGGCTGCAGCTGGCTGGATTCCTGACCACCCCTCCCAGCAAAACAGTTTTTGTAATTTTTTTTAATCCCCCAGGTCAGGGGAGAAAGAGTTCTTCATCAAATACATGAAGAGAGGTCTTGAAGTTGCTAGTTGTATCCTGTCCCTGCTCAGACATTTTCAAATCTGCCCAGCCTCAGCACATCCTGCAAGAAATGCCCTGCTCCTAAATTCTTATTGTGTGTTGTTTTTGATACGTGGTCTCATTAGCCCGACTGGCCTCAGACTCTAGATAGCTAGTAATGAACTTGAACTCCTGGTCCTCCTGCCTCAGCAGCCCCTGTGCTACAATCAGAGGCGTGGCTGACCACGCCTAGTTTTTAGTGGGTAGGGAATGAAACCCAGGCTTCACTCAGGGCTGATGAAGCACCCCACCCTTGTTTTTATTTGAAACGGGTCTGACTATGTAATACAGTCTACTTAAAATTCATAATCCTGCCTCAGCCTCCCAAGTATAGGGTGACAGTCTATGTAATGGGGTCAAGACCTGGGCTACATGAGACCCTTTCTCAACAAACAATGCTGTTTCCATAGTGAGCTGCTCTGCATAGGCGGAGCTCAGGACTTCTAGCCATGGACTTGATAGTGGGATTTGGAGACAGGTTGAGCGGCAGCACAGGCTGGGTGGGGATGTGTGGGAGGCCCCTCCACTGTCATGACCCTCCAGGGGTCAGCTGCTCCAGCCTCTAGCCTAGGACCTTGCACAGGCATGAGTTAGTGTGTGTTTGTGCAGGGTGGGGATGGGTTTCAGAAACCATGGTGCCATAAGATGGCATGTGGCTTGAGAGTGTCCAGGTTTGGGGTCACTGCAGAAGGCTGGGAGGAGAGTGGCTGTGGTCCTGGGGCTCTTCTGGTACTCGGGTACTTAGGGAACTCAGATCTCCTGCCATAGAGAGCCACATTCAGGCAAAGGGGCTCAGCTCCTAGTAGGGGACCGAGGTCCAGACTATTGAGAAGAGAATGAGAAAGCACACAGTAAGTGACTTAGCCACCAGGTTTTAGGCACAAGGGCCACAGAGGCAGTGACAGGGAGGTCTCTGAGCCAGGCAACAAGTGGGTACTGGTGTAGCCTCCACAAGACGACCTTGGATGTGTATAGACGGTGCAGATGGGAGGAAGGGCTGGCTGGAGACAGTGCAGAGTGCGAGATGGACTGGTGGGGGCGTCTCTGGCAGGGCGCGAGGTCAGGCAGCTCTCTCGTCACACTCCCTTTGCCTGGGTTGCCTTGGCTGAGGCTCCTGGGACACAGGATGTGCTTCTGTTCTCCAAAGTCTGGGAACTGAGGAGAGAGGCCTGGGACAGCAGTTAGACCCTCTGTCAGAACCAACAATGTGCTGGGGCCTTGCAAGCCTCTTCTGCCTCTCCTGCCTGCTCTGGGGGCAGAAGTCCAGGTGGCTTTGGCTGCCTGTCCCTTCAACTCTGGTGGGTGGGCCTGCTGGGGACTGACCAGCAGGGGTATTTGGGAGTGAGAGAGGTAGGCACTGAAGCCCCAGGGGCCGGGGCCTCTGGAAGAACCAACCAGGTGTGTACCTGCCCTCCTGACAGGGTCTCCAGGTCTGTGACCATGGCCTGGGCAGAAGCCCAAAGAAAGGCTAGTTATAGTGGTGCATGCCTTTAATCCCAGCCAACAGGAGGTGGGTTCCAGGCTAGCCTGGTCTACACAGTAAGAGCCTACCATTTTTTTTAAATCTTTGTTTAAAAAGGGAGCAGTACCCCGAAGGGACAGTGCAGTGAGGCTCGCTGGACATATTCCATGGCCATGCATCTGCTGTGCCTCATGCCACGTTGTGGGACAGCTGCAGGAGCCCTTGGCTGCCCTGTCAGGCTCTCGTCACTGTCACGTGCCACACCTCTGTGGGAGTTAAGCCGGGAGACAACCTGGGTCTGACTGTGGCGCTTTACAGCTGTCTGTGCCCAGGCTGCCATTAGTGCTTTCAGAAGAGAGCTGCAAGCCAGACACAGCACCAGACAGGTCCCAAGGGTCACCCCAGCACCTCCAGCCTCTTACTCCTGCACCACATGGGGACACTGAGGCCAGCTAGGCCTCAGAACTTCCTCCATGAGCCCGAGAGCAAAGGGTGGTAGAGCTCTGCACAGCTGGAGCGGTGGGGAGTGTGCCGTGGTCTGGGGACAGCACGGTGCCAGGCCTTTGGCATCTACTCATGTGCTGTGGCACACAGAAGTCTGAACACCCTGCGGAGCTGCTGCTCTCCTTCCCTTCTGGTGCCTGGGGTGGCGAGCACGTCACCTGCTCAGACAGACTGCCATCAGGCTGTGAACTGGTTCTCATGGGTGGAAGGCAGGTGTCCTGGGCTCAGGTGTACTGTCCCCACAGCAGGTGTCTGGGGTCAACTGCTGTAGTTTCGGAATGACTGAACCATGAGGGCTGGTGTGGGCAGTTCGCTAACTCCAGGGAGCTGTGCTGACCTGGCCTTTGGGACTGACGTCTCAGTTGTGTTGAATGTGTGGACCCTGAGCTCAGGCAGAGACTCAGCATCAGCGTGCAGGGGTACTCAGCTGGCCAGGCTGCAGAGAAGGGGGCTCCGGACAAGCCAGGCCTGGGCTTCGTCTCCTGTAGCCATGCCTGTGCTCCACCGAGCTGGAGGGTTTGCCTGTGACCTCATCACCAGGGAGTCCTCCCTGTCCCCTCTTGCTGTCCTTAGGAGTTTTCAATGAGTGTCTGCTGCTCAGCTGTAACTGTAGGGAAATGCGGGCTAGTGACCTGGCTGCTGGCAGCCAAGCTTGAGTTCTCGGCAAAACCAGTATGTGTCCTTAACTGCTGAAGACAGGTCAGTGCATTTATGTGACCCACAGTGATCTTGGGCCAGGTTGGTGGCACATGCCTGGTATCCTATCACTTGGTAGGGTGAGGCAGGAAGATGACTTCAAGGCCCACCCTGGGGTGCTTGAGCCTCTCAAAAACAACCTTACAACAATTAAGCTCTTCTGGCACCGCCTGAAACCTTGTTGCGCCTCTTTATAGAATGTAACTCCATGCTGTAATAAGTACAGAATGGGCGTGGGGTCCTGGATTCCAGACCCCCAAAAAATCAGAGTCCCCAGGGCCACCCCGGGCCACTACTCTCCCCAGAGAGACAGCCAGGACCCTGCTCTGCACGCCACCCTGTCGTAGTAACTTGTGTTTCTTTTCTTTTTTCTGTTTTTGTTTTGTTTTGTTTTTTCCCTTAAACTTTCCAGGTCAGAGTACACCTGTAAGCCAGCTGGGTTCTTCAGCCTTCCCTGAGTCCCCTGATCCATTCCAGCCACTCGAGGCTGACAGCGGCGACCCGTTCCAAAATAAAAAGGGGTTTGGGGACCCATTTAGTGGCAAAGATCCATTTGCCCCCTCCTCTTCAGCTAAACCTCCTAAGGCCTCTTCCTCCGGCTTTGCCGACTTCACCTCTGTAAGTTGAGTCTTCCCTTGGCCACCTTTCCTTCCTGGCTTGCTGCTGCTTGGGGGTGGGGTTCCCTCTGCAGCTAAAGACGCCGCCCCTCCCGCTGCTGGCAACCCCCGCCATCCACCTACTACGTACCTTTGTTATTATTGTGCACTGACCTCTGTAAGAAACAGGTTGTCCTTAAAGATGAGACTTCTCCTGGGTGCTCGGTGCTATGGATCTTTGTCTCAGAGCTGTTGCTCACTGAGTTTCTGTTTGAGAAATGCTCTTTCTATTAGCGCAGGCTGGCCTGGAACTCAAGTCACCTGCCTCTGCCTTCCAAGGGTTGGGACGAAAGGTGTGCGCCAACACACTGGTTCATTGATTTTTGGAGGCTGAGCAGGCAGGTATCTCCTGAGACTAAATATTTCATCAGATTCTGCTGCCTCCAGGAAGGTCTGGGGGTGAGTGGCCCTGACCAAGAGCGTTATGCATGTAGGAGAGTCCAGGCAGGATGTCCCAGAATGAGAGGTTTGGTTACTTTCTGTTCTGTGTTTTATTTTTCATTTTCCCCAATTTCTGTTGGATTATTAGCTGCAGTGAAAAGGAATCCCACCTAGATGGCCACTCTGGAGCCTCTTCTCTTATCCACTTGCCTCTGCCAGGCTTCCTGGAGTCAGCCTGGGCTCCCAGCAGCTCTGCCCCGCTGTCACTTTACAGCAGCCCTGGCTCCCTCAGGCCCCTGTCCACCCTCCACCACCAAGGGCCGTCTGCGCTCTGAGCGTGCTTGCTTCCCATAATCCACTTCACCTTTCGTCCATCAGATGCAG